AACAGTAAGGAACACAATTGGGCGTCATCATATTCCAATTGATCCAAAGACAGTGCGTACTCGGCTGCGTGCCTATGGTCTAAGATCGCGGCAGCCATATGTTGGACCACAGCTTAATGCGCGGCGACGAGCCATACGAATGCAATGACTGAAAGCACATTCCGTAAGACGCTTCCCAATGCAATGATGGAGAAGGGTCCTGTTCTCAGATGAGTCCAGGTTTTCGCTTTACGGGCAGACGGCCGACGTCGTGTCTGTAGACGTAACCACGAGTGCTATGCAGATGCTTGTGTGATAGAGAATGACCGCTTTGGAGGAGGATCGGTCATGGTATGGGGAGGGATTGCGCATGGTATCAAGACTCCTCTGGTCGTTATTCAGGGAAATCTCACGGCCGTCCGCTATAGAGATCAAGTCCTAGCGCCGCATTTTGTTCCTCTAGTACAGCAGCGTCAACTGACGTTTCAGCAGGACAACGCCCGGCCGCATGTAGCGAGGGTTTGCCGTGGTTATCTCGCATCAAACAATGTCCCCACCCTAGACTGGCCCCCATACAGCCCTGACCTCTCCCCAATAGAACATTTATGGGACGAGTTGGACAGAAGGATAAGACGTAGGCCGAATCCTCCAATTAACGTCGCTCAGTTGGCGTTGGCGCTGGATGAGGAATGGAATCATATACCAATGAGGAGGGTTAATACCCCGATCAATTCATTGCACAAAAGAGTTCGTGCAGTTACTGCGGGGGAAGAGGGGATGGGGCACACACGATTGATGGGTCCAGAACGCACTTCATTTTGAGTGGGGTACTCTTGAATCAACGTCAAATTTGAAACGAATGAAATTCTCGTGGATGACAGAGTGGTCAACTATCTTCCAGTTGCACCATAATTACATTCTAAAACCCTTTTCTATTTCCCGTAGTTGACCTGGAAATTCCTAATTGCGTTTCGTTTTCCTCTCAGTATAGATTCATGTTAGACCTATGTAGGTTCTCCTAGGTCTGTTGACTTAGAGCAGTGCTGGATGACTTATTCCTTAATCATATATGTGGTTTCTTTGGTCCCTAGTTGTGCCCAATGAATTTTGTGACTGATCAGGAAAAAAATGGTTGATAGGTGGCCACACTGAATTTCGATTAAGAGTTCTCCATAAACCTCCTGTTTATTACATATGGAGGTACCCTTTGGTCCCTAGATGTGTCCTGTTGGTTTTGAAATTTATTGGAAAACAAGATGACTAACAGACAGAAATCTTGGTTTTCAACATAGATTGCTACCACTACCTCTGGAGAAGTACTTGTTGGATCATTCTTAAACATACATATGACAGATGGCCATCTTGGTTTTTGATAACCATAAATTGTTATCATTATTACTTGAGAAATGCTAGATGAATCTTGCTTATATTTGTAGATTCCCTTCAGTCCTTAGTTGTGCACTTTTGCACTTTGAAAGATTAGGAAAACAAAATGGTTGACAGGTGGCCATCTTGGATTTTGACAATGAAAGATAGTTATTACTGTTTCTGGAGAAGTACAGAATGAATCTTTCTCATATTTCAAACATTGGTTCACCATACGTCCTAGTTGTGCCATATTGATTTAGGGACTGGTAAGGACAACAAAATGGCCAAAAGTGACCATCTTGGGTCCAACAAGATCATTAACATTGTCACTCTTTCTTAAGATTAAGGTTCAGTTTTCATACAAAGCATGAAAAATAAAGGACAGAAAAAAATGAAGGGAAAAGACCAAAATTTTACAGAATAAAGATAAAACAAAGCTGAGCGCCAAGGTCTTTCTGGGATCTCCTCTTGACTAAAAGGCAACAGATGGATAGGCGGATCAATATATGACCATAGGGACAAACGAAAACAAATGTACTATATAAAGAATGTTTTATTTAATATCATGGTAAATCTCATTTGTAGGTACAAAGTTCTTATAACATGACACACAGCACTTGAACTGCTATAAGCAAAACAAAATAAATATTTAAAAATCTTTTCCAACTATGTATTGATTCACAAGGTCAAAAAAATGAAAACCTTTGACTCAAAGTACAGTGTCTATTTTAACGGTGTCTGTCATTGTTTTGCCAGTATGAACATTTTCAATCAATTTTTCACAATAGGAAGAGAACAGTTTCATCACAGAAATGTTTGACAGAAAGGCAAAACCTTATGAAGAAAATTAATATATCTTTAAAGACAAAACCTAACACAAAATTTTATACTGTTAAAGACAAAACCTAACACTAAATTTTATACTGTTAAAGGCAAAACCTAACACAAAATTTTATACTGTTAAAGACAAAACCTAACACAAAATTTTATACTGTTAAAGGCAAAACCTAACACAAAATTTTATACTGTTAAAGGCAAAACCTAACACAAAATTTTATACTGTTAAAGGCAAAACCTAACACAAAATTTTATACTGTTAAAGACAAAACCTAACACAAAATTTTATACTGTTAAAGACAAAACCTAACACATAAATTTTATACTGTTAAAGACAAAACCTAACACAAAATTTTATACTGTTAAAGACAAAACCTAACACAAAATTTTATACTGTTAAAGACAAAACCTAACACAAAATTTTATACTGTTAAAGACAAAACCTAACACAAAATTTTATACTGTTAAAGGCAAAACCTAACACAAAATTTTATACTGTTAAAGACAAAACCTAACACAAAATTTTATACTGTTAAAGACAAAACCTAACACAAAATTTTATACTGTTAAAGACAAAACCTAACACAAAATTTTATACTGTTAAAGACAAAACCTAACACAAAATTTTATACTGTTAAAGACAAAACCTAACACTAAATTTTATACTGTTAAAGACAAAACCTAACACAAAATTTTATACTGTTAAAGACAAAACCTAACACAAAATTTTATACTGTTAAAGGCAAAACCTAACACAAAATTTTATACTGTTAAAGGCAAAACCTAACACAAAATTTTATACTGTTAAAGACAAAACCTAACACAAAATTTTATACTATTAAAGACAAAACCTAACACTAAATTTTATACTGTTAAAGACAAAACCTAACACAAAATTTTATACTGTTAAAGACAAAACCTAACACAAAATTTTATACTGTTAAAGACAAAACCTAACACAAAATTTTATACTGTTAAAGACAAAACCTAACACAAAATTTTATACTGTTAAAGACAAAACCTAACACAAAATTTTATACTGTTAAAGACAAAACCTAACACAAAATTTTATACTGTTAAAGACAAAACCTAACACAAAATTTTATACTGTTAAAGACAAAACCTAACACAAAATTTTATACTGTTAAAGACAAAACCAAACACAAAACTTTATATTTTTAAAGACAAAACCTAACACAAAATTTTATACTGTTAAAGACAAAACCAAACACAAAACTTTATATTTTTAAAGACAAAACCAAACACAAAACTTTATATTTTTAAAGACAAAACCAAACACAAAACTTTATACTGTTAAAGACAAAACCAAACACAAAACTTTATATTTTTAAAGACAAAACCAAACACAAAACTTTATATTTTTAAAGACAAAACCAAACACAAAACTTTATATTTTTAAAGACAAAACCAAACACAAAACTTTATATTTTTAAAGACAAAACCAAACACAAAACTTTATATTTTTAAAGACAAAACCAAACACAAAACTTTATACTGTTAAAGACAAAACCAAACACAAAACTTTATATTTTTAAAGACAAAACCAAACACAAAACTTTATATTTTTAAAGACAAAACCAAACACAAAACTTTATATTTTTAAAGACAAAACCAAACACAAAACTTTATATTTTTAAAGACAAAACCTAACACAAAATTTTATACTGTTAAAGACAAAACCTAACACAAAATTTTATACTGTTAAAGACAAAACCAAACACAAAACTTTATATTTTTAAAGACAAAACCAAACACAAAACTTTATACTGTTAAAGACAAAACCTAACACAAAACTTTATATTTTTAAAGACAAAACCAAACACAAAACTTTATATTTTTAAAGACAAAACCAAACACAAAACTTTATATTTTTAAAGACAAAACCAAACACAAAACTTTATATTTTTAAAGACAAAACCAAACACAAAACTTTATATTTTTAAAGACAAAACCAAACACAAAACTTTATATTTTTAAAGACAAAACCTAACACAAAATTTTATACTGTTAAAGACAAAACCAAACACAAAACTTTATACTGTTAAAGACAAAACCAAACACAAAACTTTATATTTTTAAAGACAAAACCTAACACAAAATTTTATACTGTTAAAGACAAAACCAAACCCAAAATTTTATACTGTTAAAGACAAAACCAAACACAAAACTTTATATTTTTAAAGACAAAACCAAACACAAAACTTTATATTTTTAAAGACAAAACCAAACACAAAACTTTATATTTTTAAAGACAAAACCAAACACAAAACTTTATATTTTTAAAGACAAAACCAAACACAAAACTTTATATTTTTAAAGACAAAACCAAACACAAAATTTTATATTTTTAAAGACAAAACCAAACACAAAATTTTATATTTTTAAAGACAAAACCAAACACAAAACTTTATATTTTTAAAGACAAAACCAAACACAAAACTTTATATTTTTAAAGACAAAACCAAACACAAAACTTTATATTTTTAAAGACAAAACCAAACACAAAACTTTATATTTTTAAAGACAAAACCAAACACAAAATTTTATATTTTTAAAGACAAAACCAAACACAAAATTTTATATTTTTAAAGACAAAACCAAACACAAAACTTTATATTTTTAAAGACAAAACCAAACACAAAACTTTATATTTTTAAAGACAAAACCAAACACAAAACTTTATATTTTTAAAGACAAAACCAAACACAAAACTTTATATTTTTAAAGACAAAACCAAACACAAAATTTTATACTGTTAAAGACAAAACCAAACACAAAACTTTATATTTTTAAAGACAAAACCAAACACAAAATTTTATATTGCTAACTTCCTAAACTGAAGGCACATTACAAATACTTTTCAACAAAATCCTGACATTATCCACCGCTACATGCATATCTTGGTCAAATTTTTTACTATTTTTAAAACTGAAAAAGCTATAGGATTCCATAATACATATGGAACATTTAGATGAATATAATGATTAAACTACTGTCCTTCCATTTAGAATTTTTAGGTGTAATATCACTACATCACTTACAATGACAAGGAAGAGTTCCACAATATTATTTTCTCTCTTTTAATTGAAGTTTTCTGTGATGAAAAAATTATAGCAACAAAAGAATTTTTTGCTGAGAGTTATAGCAAGTCAAATTAACTTTGTAAATCGTGTGATTGGTAAAGGCCCAGACAAACTCTGATTTTGTCCTTTTATATAAAATCCATTGTCCGATATTCATCATTTTTTCACATTTTTAAAATGTTTAACATGATTTCGTTTTGGATGGAAATGACAAATACACCAATGTTTCTGTTTAAACAGCACAAATGTCTCTGAAGATACCTCAATTTGTCTCGATGTTCACTCCGCTGAAATAAATACCATGATAATGGCTATTGATACTTGTGTTCAACACATTGAGATATTAACCACCAATAGCTTCATCATGGCTTACTCATCCTTACATCATACACATCTTCTTTTACACACTTACTCCAACCTGATGTCAAATTATTGTGTTTTTATCATACAACAGACACTTTGTCTGCTGGCATGAACCCAGACTCACCAAGGTGACGTATAGACACTCGTCCAGAAGGCCGAATTGTTATCCACGTAATACTAGCATGATTTAAACTGATACGAAGCCAAGCTTCAGGAGGAAATTGCAGAGCCCTGGAAAATAGACAGTACAGGTAACAAAGGTTTTAAACATTTTTGTATCATTACATCAAAAACAAACAAACAAATCTGCATCTTTACACAAACTTACATAACTATACATAAATCACTAAATCTATTTAACTGTTTACAGCTTTTGCTGTAGCAACTTCTGTATGGTACACAACAGCCCGTCTTCTAAACAGATTTGATTTTTATATTAGAAAAGCACACTTAGATAAATTCATGCATAAAGGTTAAATACATTTAATAATACATGGCATAATATATATTTTACCTTTATTTCTATTTTGCCCCCTTTTCATGATAAAAAGATTGAATCAAAAGTTATAGTAGTGATGATAATATGATCAGATCTAATTGCTAATCCATTCGTTTCACCTCATCTGACTTGTGTCCAGTTTCATATCTATCAGTTGTTGAGTACATACAATCTTTTCATTATTGAATGGTTATTGGTTAAATGCAGAATTGCTTGAGTTGTTTGTTTCCACTAATGAAAATATATAGTGATATTTATATATTTATAACAAGTATCTACAAGCCTTGAATCTGTGTATGTTTTGTTTATTGAAAACCACAGATGAAGCATTTCCAGGCTACCAGTTGTAAGTTACCTCTAGATAAACCACAAAATATAGTAATTCTGTGAATTCTCCACATAACTGACTGTCATACTGAGTCATTCCTAATCTCTGATTTGCTTTAATTAACTGATTTTGATCAGTATCAGCCCATCAGCAAAATAAAAAAAACACTTACCTGCAAGCAAAGTATCGTATAACATTAGCATGACAAACCACTATTTCATGGCTGTCAGTTTTCTGGGAGGCGTCAGCTCGATGAAACAGATTTTTGTAAGCACCCTCTATTCTAGCACCGTCTTCAAGAAATTGCTGAAAGAGAACATGGTAACTATGTACTGTATTTAGAAAGAGAAAAAAACAGTTGTCTCAGCCAGATTAAGACAAGAGGCCTAGCGGCCCTGACAGCTACCTGAGATTAGTAATATTGAATATAAAGGTTAAAAGGTTGCTTTCAAGTGTTTTGAAGACAAAATTGCGACATTATTGATAGTAAAACTTAAGTGATCAGAGTCCTTGGGGGCTAGCCAGTCACTACCATCATATGTCATCCTAGACTAAACTATAGTTAACTTCACCATCCCAAGAAGGCAATGCGAGACTCTTGGGTCATGAGGTGTAGAATTTTGGTAAAGCAACTTAAAATCCTTCCATCAATGAAGAGCATTTGATTCTGCCATATCTGGGTGGATGAGAGGATGATTTTTGACTTTTGAGTGAATTTGACCCCTTTTTTGCCCCTGAGGGTCAGCCAGCCTCAATATGTACATACCATCAAGCAGTCATCCCATACTGATAACTCGTACTCAGATTGAAATATTTCCAATGGAAAGTAAACAAATTCTGCTCAAAAATGTACTTTTCCTACATATAGCATTGTAAAATTACCCCCCTCCCCAGAGGGAAATGTGAGACCCTGGGGCTATGAAATTTACTATTTATGTAAAGCACCTTACAACACTTCCATCCATGAAGTAGATGTTTGAAATTTGGATCAATCTGACACCTTTTGGTCTGTGACTCAAGCCTCTTAAAAATGGTGAAAATGTAAGAATGCATGATACATGCTGTCCAATCAAAGGTGATTACAATAGTGTCTCAGGTCACCTTAAAACTAAACACACAAAAACAACAAATCTGATCAAAAAAATGATCAAGATACCAGAGAAATAACAATATTACCTGTTTTTCTGGTCGCCAGTGGTCCACGGGTGGTTCAGGTGGTATTGGTGCTCCTTCTCTAAGCATGTCCGTTTCTTTACGTGGAACATCAGGGAAGAACTTTTGTATAATATCAGCAGTTTCCTTTGCTCGTGTCATGGTCGATGACAGGAGAATGGTATAAGACAGACCCAAGTCTTTCAGACGTTGACCTGTGTATTCAGCCTGCTTTCGCCCTAAATAAATCAGTCCAATAACTTTTATACTAGTTATCTCCCTTTGATTAAATGAAAATATATATATATATATATATATATACATATTCTACAAGGAAAGTAATTTTTAACCTGTGATAAATTCACAAATTAAATGCACAAAACATGCATGCCAATTTGATGTTCAGTCATATATTTACCAGGGATATGTTTTCTAACACAAGTAAATGATGTAGACAGTGCAAAATTTTTTTATAATAATTAATAATAATAATAGAAACAGCCTTTTCTTACATTTGAGTCTGATCAATTAACTCATTAATCACGTATCTTACATTACAATTTTGTTATCAGTAACTTATATGTAACCAAATGACAACAAACACAATGCATCAAAATAAAAGCTTACCTGGTTCTGTGAAGTGTTGTTAGTTTTCATATTCCTCAAGAGTTTTTGACACCAGTTCTATTCAAGAGAACTTACCTAGTTTTTTGAGGTGTTGTTAGTTTTCACATTCCTAAGGTTTTCGACACCAGTTCTTTACAAGAGAACTTACCTAGTTCTGTGAGGTACCGTTGGCTGTCATCTTCCCCATCAGTGTTGTATTGACCGTGACGAATCAACAGTAGATGTCGTGTTGCTGTTGGGGCATGTTTTTTCAGTTCATTTTTGGCATCTTTTGCATTTTTCTCATCAGAGGAATTATTGCTCTTAGGTGGTCTCACTAAGCTGGCTGCTTCACATCTGAAAGAAAATATATTTCAGTGGTTGATTCTTACTATTGACACACTTCTACAGCCAGTTAACTTCACAACTCATACTTCAAAGATTCCGTTTCACAAATATGAATCTCCTCTGGGTTTCAGACTCCCAAAAACAGCTTTGAATCATGGGTTTCAAACAAAACATCTTATTGATGATTTAGTAGTGATATTTCCAAACTTTGGAGCAAAAGTTAATTGACTCTAAGTATCATAGGTCAAACAGAAGCCCTACTACTTAAATTTTCCACATTGTTTACAGTCTAGCTTTTGATTTCGTAGTGGACAGAGCTAGTTTTGATCTTCATCTGTAGTTGAATATATAACTTACACAATATGTGACCAGTATTTATCAGTTATGGACAAATAAATCAAAATAACAAACATTTGAGGAAGAGCATTCCACATACTCTTTCCCATTAGGGTCGGGCATGAGGACTGCATATAAATGTATACCTATTCTTTAAGAACATGTTTGAAACTGGAATGCCATTGAATGTATAAGAGCCTGACGAGTCGTAAGACAATTACCACCCTAATAATCTAGGAATGTGTCGGCAAGGAGCCAAAAACTGAACCAGAAATGAGTGATTCCTTGAGATTACTCGTTGGTGACTTTTGAGCTAGGCTTGAACTAAAATGTAAGTAAACACCGAAGAGGGACCACCACGCCTACTTTAAAATGATACTTGTGTTATTAAAAGTTGGTTACGTCTCACACGAAAAACACTGAAAAGGAACATTTATATGCATGTAGCTTATCAAAGCGTGTTAATAAGTTACTGTGACATGTCCAAAACATGCATTTAGCCACCGGTTCCGCCTCATAATTAGATCGACCGCAGAGGTTGTTTCAAGTGCATTTAGCATGGACAGACGTACTTATCCCAGTTGTAGTCCCACTTTACACTTGGTTCGAAATTGGAAGTCCAAACAGCGTTTTCATGCAATTTTTCCGACTTGGTTTTATAAATAACACCTGCTGCAACGGCGACACCGCCTATAAAACCGGCACTTCGACGTGCCAACCTACTCCATCCAGCCATGCTTGTTTATTGTGATCAAGGTCTTTAATGCGCTTAAGGATGTCTGTAATAATATTCGGAAACAACACATATTCGGAACAAGTTTTGTAATCACAGACTTACATGTGGAATAGGTATATAGGCAACTGCCGCGAATCTATTATAAATGCGTGTTTTAATACGTGCAGTATGGTTCAGTACATTTTGTACCTGGTGAGGATTAATGTTATCCACTATGTAGGTTATATCAAATAAACAAGAGGGCCATAGGCATCAACAGTCATTTGACTACAAAAACTTGTAGGCCTACAGTATGTGATAGAGATCCAAAACAGTATGAATTGCCATCCTTTACTGTGACGTTAAGAGAAGACCTTGTCTGTTCATAAAGCCGAATTCTTCAGATTTAAAAACTATTCATCATACATACTTCTACACAAATACCATAACACAATGCCTTTTATTTGTTGATAAACGAAATCACTGACCTTGAAAGTGGGTCAAGTTGCATGAAGATTCTATCACATCTGACCTTAAATTAGTGGGTTAAGGTCATCCAGTTGAACAAACTTGGTAGCTATTCAACCCATAATGTTACCTGCTAAACACACTGGGCCTTTTGATTATTGAGAAGAAGATGTGAAAACATTTGACATCTGCAACTGTTAAAGTGGGTCAAGGTGATTCATTTGAGCAAACTTCGTAGCCCTTCAACCTGGCATGCTACAAGCTCAATATCAGTGCCTTTGGCCTTTTGGTCATTTAGAAGTCATTTGAATGAAAGGTTTACTTATGATGCTTGACAACTGAGGAAACATGATAGCTAAAGGTCAGATGACCTTGGCTATGACCTTGCATATGACCTTGGCTATGCTTGAAGTTTTCTTTGCTCACCTGAAATAGGAATTAAAATTTTGGATATTTATTTACCTATAGTTATATCTTCTGAGGACTCTCACTTTTGACTCGGCTTTAACTTGTATTAATGAGGGGATTAATTAAATGACAATTATTCTATTTTAATGATACAAAATATTGTATAAATATCACATTTTAATGAGATGATGAATGCATTTAACAAGATCAATGATTTCTTTCATTGATATAATTCTCTCGTTTCAAAATGAGATAACTAACATGTTTAAACAAGAAAATCATCACTTTACGTTTCAATAAATGAGATAATACATTTCAACAAGGTAACCTACTAATTTTAACAAGACAAATAATGCATTTAAAGTAAACATTATTATTTCTGTCTTTTCAAATTGGTCTTAATACACTTTCCTATGCTTCTGTGTATCTAATACCAAGAATATATTTATCACCATCAGCCCTGACTCGACAAACCATGGAGTGTAACTTTGGATATTTTCCTCAGTCTGGTAATCTTTACTGTATAGACATCCTTATATCACAACCAGTTAGAACATATATTTAATGTTATGTAAAACATTGAAAACAAGAAACGATCAAGGAACAGAGATAGGTTACATCACAGAAAGCCATAACTAATCTTCTTTACTTCCCAGTTTTAACAACAAATGAATTGCTATAAAATTTACAGTTTATAACCATTGTACATTAAATAACACTGGTGCTGGCATTATGCAATTTATTAAGCTTCATATATTTGTATTTTCAAATGTCCTTACTGTCTTGGAAAATGTTGTGTTTATTATCATATTCAGCTGGTTTTTGAGGCAAAAAATCCACAAATCATCATGAAAATAAAATAAAGTGAAAAAATAAAGTAAAGAATGAAAGAGAAAGAAAGAAAATAAGAAAAGAAAAGAATAGATTACTCAGAGTTGACTCTTCTCCAAGCTGGTGGATCCCTGGACCATACGATAAGTCCTCTTAAAATTTTGCAATAGTTTTTTTTTATTTTTTCCCTCTGTATGAAGGATATACACATATCCCTACAACTCCCTCTGTACCTGGGATGTATATGTCCCTGTGACTCCCCCTTTACCTGGCATGTCCCTGAAACTCCCCTGTACTAGGTATATACCATATGTCCCTCAGACTCCAACTGTACCAGGGTGGGATTTTTCCCATACCAGGGATGTATATGTTCCTGGGACTTGAACTCCCCCTATACCAGGGATGTATCATATGTCCCTGTGACTCCTCCCATACCAGAGATGTATCATGTGTCCCTGTAACTCCTCCCATACCAGAGATGTATCATGTGTCCCTGTAACTCCTCCCATACCAGAGATGTATCATGTGTCCCTGTGACTCCTCCTGTACCAGAGATGTATCATATGTCTCAGTGGCTTCTCCCATACCAGGGATGTATCGCATATCCCTGTGACTCCCCATGTACCAAGAATGTCCCTGTGACTCCCCATGTACCAGGAATGTCCCTGTGACTCCCCATGTACCAGGAATGTCCCTGTGACTCCCCATGTCCCCATGTACCAGGAATGTCCCTGTGACTCCCCATGTACCAGGAATGTCCCTGTGACTCCCCATGTACCAGGATTGTCCCTGTGACTCCCAATGTCCCCATGTACCAGGAATGTCCCTGTGACTCCCCATGTACCAGGAATGTCCCTGTGACTCCCCATGTACCAGGAATGTCCCTGTGAATCCCCATGTACAAGGAATGTCCCTGTGATTTCCCGTGTACCAGGAATGTCCCTGTGACTTCCCATGTATCTAGGATGCATCATATGCCCCTGTAACTCCCCATGTACCAGGAATGTCCCTGTGACTCCCCATGTATCAGGAATGTCTCTGTGACTCCCCCTGTACCAGGAATGCCCCTGTGACTCCCAATGTACCAGGAATGTCCCTGTGAAACCCCCTGTAACAGGAATGTCTCTGTGACTTCCCTGTACCAGGAATGTCCCTGTGACTCCCCCTGTACCAGGAATGTCCTTGTGACTCCTCATGTACCAGGAATGCCCCTGTGACTTCCCTGTGCCAGGAATGTGCCTGTGACTCCCCATACACCAGGAATGTCCCTGCAACTAGGATTTATCATGTCCACATATACAATAGAATTATGGCTTTTAGGGTGGCTTTTCCAAATGAATTCTGCCTGTTAAATTTCATGCATTTCTTGGTTTGTTGTTATGTTTAAGACATTGTAGGTTGTTTAAGACATTGTTGTTATGTTTCAGACATTGTCGGTTGTTTAAGACATTGTAGGTTGTTTAAGACATTGTTGTTATGTTTAAGACATTGTTGTTATGTTTAAGACATTGTAGGTTGTTTAAGACATTGTTGTTTTGTTAAGACATTGTAGGTTGTTTAAGACATTGCAGGTTGTTTAAGACATTGTAGGTTGTTTAAGACATTGTTGTTATATTAAGACATTGTTGTTATGTTTAAGACATTGTAGGTTGTTTAAGACATTGTAGGTTGTTTACGACATTGTTGTTATGTTTAAGACATTGTAGGTTGTTTAAGACATTGTAGGTTGTTTAAGACATTGTTGTTATGTTTCAGACATTGTAGGCTGTTTAAGACATTGTAGGTTGTTTAAGACATTGTAGGTTGTTTAAGACATTGTTGTTATGTTTAAGAAATTGTAGGTTGTTTAAGACATTGTAGGTTGTTTAAGACATTGTTGTTATGTTTAAGACATTGTGGGTTGTTTAAGACATTGTAGGTTGTTTAAGACATTGTTGTTATGTTAAGACATTGTAGGTTGTTTAAGACATTGTAGGTTGTTTAAGACATTGTTGTTGTGTTTAAGACATTGTAGGTTGTTTAAGACATTGTTGTTATGTTAAGACATTGTAGGTTTTTTTAAGACATTGTTGTTATGTTTAAGACAGTGTAGGTTGTTTAAGACATTGTTGTTATGTTTAAGACATTGTAGGTTGTTTAAAACATTGTTGTTATGTTAAGACATTGTAGGTTGTTTAAGACATTGTTGTTATGTTTAAGACATTGTGGGTTGTTTAAGACATTGTAGGTTGTTGAAGACATTGTTGTTATGTTAAGACATTGTAGGTTGTTTAAGACATTGTTGTTATGTTTAAGACATTGTAGGTTGTTTAAGACATTGTAGGTTGTTTAAGACATTGTTGTTATGTTAAGACAGTGTAGGTTTTTTAAGACATTGTTGTTATGTTTAAGACATTGTAGGTTAAGACATTGTTGTTATGTTTAAGACATTGTAGGTTTTTTAAGACATTGTTTTTATGTTTAAGACATTGTAGGTTAAGACATTGTTGTTATGTTAAGACATTGTAGGTTTTTTAAGACATTGTTGTTATGTTTAAGACATTGTTGTTATGTTTAAGACATTGTTGTTATGTTTAAGACATTGTAGGTTGTTTAAGACATTGTTGTTATGTTTAAGACATTGTTGTTATGTTTAAGACATTGTAGGTTGTTTAAGACATTGTTGTTATGTTAAGACATTGTAGGTTGTTTAAGGCATTGTTGTTTAAGACATTGTAGGTTGTTTAAGACATTGTTGTTATGTTTAAGACATTGTAGGTTGTTTAAGACATTGTTGTTTTGTTAAGACATTGTAGGTTGTTTAAGACATTGTAGGTTGTTGAAGACATTGTTGTTATGTTTAAGACATTGTAGGTTGTTTAAGACATTGTTGTTATGTTTAAGACATTGTTGTTATGTTAAGACATTGTAGGTTGTTTAAGACATTGTAGGTTGTTTAAGACATTGTAGGTTGTTGAAGACATTGTTGTTATGTTTAAGACATTGTAGGTTGTTTAAGACATTGTAGGTTGTTTAAGACATTATTGTTATGTTAAGACATTGTAGGTTGTTTAAGACATTGTTATGTTTAAGACATTGTAGGTTGTTTAAGACATTGTTGTTATGTTAAGACATTGTAGGTTATTTGTGCTGATTTTCTTCAGTTCCGTTATCTCTTTTCCCTACCGTTGACTTTTATTTTACCTCTAGTCCTTTGAAGTTCTTCTGGCTTGTTGGTAGAACATTTCCTCGTTCTTATCTTTTATTTAGTATCCATTGTAGTCTGTTTTATTTTTAAGTTTTGACGATATATGGTTATATATAGCATTGGCCAAGTCCTTTCTGAATATTTGCCGTCATTTTTACAGCCATGCTCCAGTTTCTTTGATGTTTAGGTGATGTTTCAGTCTGTCACAAGATGTTCATGGATATTAACTTTCCTGCTGATTAGAATTGGTTGTGGGGTTTTGTTTAGAACTCTGTATCTCCAACTTCGTGTTCTGATATCCCTGGTACACTGTAACAGCTCAAGATCAAACTCGGCTTTGTAGTAAATATCTAGGGTCTAACAGGTCCACATGTTGGTTGTCAGGTATTTGTGTTAGTTGTGTTCCAGTTGTTATATATAGGTTTGTAGTAAATATCTAGGGTCTAACAGGTCCACATGTCGGTTGTCAGGTATTTGTGTTAGTTGTGTTCCAGTTTGTTATGTTGATATGTAAGGTTTCTTTATCCCCTCCCCCTTGTTTTATTTATGTCTTGTCGGTCCAACAAATGACAGGACATTGCATTTTACTTTTTTTTAAGATCTTTGTTAGTCCTTTATCCAGTTTTATTATGTTTTGGTACAGCATGTTGAAAGATCCTTTTCTATAATTCTTGTTTCCTCGCGTCTTGATTTTCACCTGTTCTGTTTCAGTCTGTAAAAATTCTGGTGATCTGTCATTTCTGTAAATCAAATTTGGACAAAAATATTTAGATTTATTAAATCCTTTGTTGGGTGTGACCCTGATTTCATCTTTTTCAGCCATGACTGTCTTACCAAAAATAGAGTGCTTGACGTATTCCACAGCAGCTTCTAATTCTTCCTTTTATCTCTAATTCTTTGTGAATCGACAGAGATCTGAGGTGATGTTGATGATGATTTTATTTACTACATCTTTATTATCATTACTATCCGTTTTAGGCTACTCACTTACAAAATAAAGTAATAACAAACACACTTTCATCAGTGACAATCTAAAGTTAATGTAATTGTCTGACCGTTTAAATCAGTATACCAGACATAAAATCCTTGTACAATAAATTATTCTGCACCTTCAGGTAGATACAAACCATGTTACATATCTACTCTAGCATATAAATAGATCAAAAGAATCAAGCCAAGTTGGAGTTATCATATCAGGAAAATTTGCAGAATCCAACTCATTGTGGAAGTAATTATCAAAACCAACTGAATATCTAGCAGAAAGACAGATTACTATATAAACAGACAGAGGGACAGACATAGACATGGAGTTTTGTTGTTTTGATTTTTTTTTCAGTTCCATCACAGAACATTTAAAAGAAAGGCAAAACCTAATACAAAATTATATATACAGTTAACTTCCTAAACTGAAGGCACATTACAAATATTTGTCTACAAATACTGACATTATAAACAGGTACATATGTATCTCAGTTAAGCTTACTACTTTTACACTAGTGTACTACAATTTAAAAGTTTTAGGTGTAATATCACTACATCAGTAACAATGACAAGGAAGAGTTCCAATATTTTTTTCTCTTTTAATTGAAGTTTTCTGTGTTGAAAATCAAAAAATAGGAATAGCAACAACAGAATTGTTTTGCTGAGAGTTATAACATGTCAAGACATTAAAAATCTGGTCAAATTAACCTCGTAAATCGTATGACTGGTAAAGGAGCAGACAAACTTTGATTATGTAAAATCCACTGTATTCATAAACTTTTCACATTTTTCACATGTTTAACATGATTTCCATGAGAAATACACCAATGTCTCTGTTCAAACCACCAATAGCTTCATCATGGCTTACTCATCCTTACATCATACACATCTTCTTTTACACACTTACTCCAACCTGATGTCAAATTATTGTGTTTTTATCATACAACAGACACTTTGTCCGCTGGCATGAACCCAGACTCACCAAGGTGACGTATAGACACTCGTCCAGAAGGCCGAATTGTTATCCACGTAATACTAGCATGATTTAACCTAATACGAAGCCAAGCTTCAGGAGGAAATTGCAGAGCCCTGGAAAATAGACAGTACAAGTAACAAAGGTTTTTAACATTTTTGTATCATTACATCAAAAACAAACAAACAAATCTGTATCTTTACACAAACTTACATAACTATACATAAATCACTAAATTTAAATGTTTACACTTCCAAATCTTTGAGGTAAAATCTAATGCACATCATCAGTCCATCCTTCTAAACAGACTGAACATTTATATTAGAAAAAACAGACTTTAAACATTTTATAATAATTATTATTCATTTATTACTTCTTTCTTCCTTTGGAGTTCTATATTATATCAGGGAAGCTGAATTACAGCTTCTTGTCCTGATTAATCTTTTGTCTCTGTCATGTCATCTCGAACACATGATATAATCCACAGATATATTGACACTAAACACATCATCCCTTGATCATATCTACATGTTTTATATAATCCAATGGTTAACCTAATTTATATAACTACATAATTTGGCTGACCTATTTAGATAATCACATGCCAGTCTGCTTATATAATGCAATCACATATCATTCCTATTTATCTAGTCACAAAACTTGTCTGACCTATTTCTATAATCATGTAAGATGTTTGACCTATTTGAGATAATCATGTAAGATGTCCGACCTATTTAGATAATCATGTAAGATATCTGACCTATTTACATAATCATATAATATGTCTGACCTATTTATATCTCTCTGATTTGCTTTAATCAACTGATTTTGATTAGTATCAGCCCATCAGAGATAAACATAAAAATCCACTTACCTACACACAAAGTATCGTATAACATTAGCATGACAGACCACTATTTCATGGCTGTCAGTTTCCTGGGAGGCATCAGCTCGATGAAACAGATTTTTGTATGCAGCTTCTATTCTTGATCCATCTTGAAGAAACTGTTCAAAAAGAACATGAAAATCAATCATCTAGATAACATTACAGTACCAAAATAATCACTCATTATAATTAAAACACCATAATCAAAACAAATTTCAAAGGAATTCCCAAAATAAAACATCTTCCCAAAACAAACTACTAGAGCAATAAAAGTTACCTGCTTTTCTGGTCGCCAGTGTCCCATTGGTGGTTCAGGGGGTATTGGTGCGCCTTCTCTAAGCATGTCCGTTTCTTTACGTGGAACATCAGGGAAGAACTTTTGTATAATATCAGCAGTTTCCTTTGCTCGTGTCATGGTCGATGACAGGAGAATGGTATAAGACAGACCCAAGTCTTTCAGGCGTTGACCTGTGTATTCAGCCTGCTTTCGCCCTGAAGAAATCAGTCCAATAACTTTTATACTAGTTAACTCCCTTGGATTTATACTAGTTATCTCCCTTAAGTTAATATATTCAAGGAATATAATTTTTTAATTGTAATTAATTCACAGATTAAATGAACAAAAGATATATGCCATGTGATGTTTATTCATACAAGTGTCTCTTTTCTGATTAAGTCTTATCTATATATATTGAATATCATTATCTATCATCTATCAAAGAAAAAAGTCTATTCATTTACAGTTTAACCATAGAAACAACATTCTGTTGATAACACTTGAACCTGATCAATAACCTTATTCATGATGAATCTTACAATACAATGTTTTCACCAGTAACTTACTGAACACAATATATCAAAGATTGGCTACTTTCGAGTTGACTCCAACAAACCTTTTATTATGATATTTATAAAAGAGCCATTATGATATATTGAAAACAGTTTGAGCCGGATTACCCATCAGCCACCTACAATCACAGGTTTTTGACACCAGAACTTACCTAGTTCTGTGAGGTGTTGTTAGTTTTCATATTCCTCAGGTTTTATACCAGTTTTATGCAAGAGAACTTACCTAGTTCTGTGAGGTACCGTTGGCTGTCCTCTTCCCCATCAGTGTTGTATTGACCGTGACGAATCAACAGTAGATGTCGTGTTGCTGTTGCTGTATGTTTTTTCAGTTCATTTTCTGCATCTTTTGCATCCTTCTCTTCAGAGGAATTTTGATTTTTTGACGGTTTCACTAAACTGGCTGGTTCACATCTGAGAGAAAATATTTTTCAGTGGTTGAATCGTATTACTAATAGGGTCACTTTCAATTAGCCAATTAATAAATTATACAACACATATTTAGGGTCTCCAATTCACCAATGTCAATCTCATCTGGGACTTTGACTCTCAAAAATGATCTGAACTTTGAATCATGACTTTCAAAGGCAGCATTTTGATTGTAGTATTTCCATATTTTGAAGCAAAATGGGAATTGACACTTAGTTAAATAGAAGCTCTGTCTATTATTAAAATAAATTTCCCTCAGTGTATACACTGTTTCATCCCAGCAGCCAGAACTAACAACTTTATCTAGACGATATGTACCTGTTAGCTATGGACAAGTTAAGCAATTTAAGAAATAAAAGCTAAAATGGTTTCTCAGTACAATATATTATTCCAACCTTCTCTTGATATTGCCATTGTAATAAAATGGTCAGTGATAAACAACCTAGGTATTACAATCTATTGCTCACAATGTAAAAAAAAAACAGTAACTGTATGATATCTGTCATCCACATTGAGGGTTGGGTATACAGCTTGTATTTTAAATCATACAGAAAAACATACCTATTTCATAAGGACAGTCACAGAAACATCAACAATAAAATAAATGGACGCCTTTGTCAGGGGATTGCAGAATGGGATGAAATGTAGGGAGCTTGTGATGACAATAAAGAGTTTATATCTGGAACCTACATATACCTTGTTGATTGTAATTCTATTTCTACATACAGAAACATCATATATACGAGGAGGCTACAGAAACTTGACACAATGTCTTAGTTATTCACTTAAGGATGTGTGGGGAAGGGGAAACTAGAATAACTGGCCCAGAAATAAGATGATTCTTGGAAAAGACATGTTGGTGATTAAGGAATGCAGGCTTATGAAATGTAAGTAACAAATCAGGGGGGTTAACTCCTACATTAAAATAATATTAAAAACTTTCCTTTTTCCTTTTCCTTTTCTTCATCTCCTTCATTAATATTGATGATTCTGGTGAGGGGATGGTAAAGTGATACATGCTTGTTTAAAAAACACAAAAAATATATGATGGTATATATATACTGGATTTACAAAAAAAGGGGGAGGTAATTAAATTGTGGTTGTAAATGTATGAGAGGGTATTGTGTGTTGCCTTGGATTTCAATTTTGTGAGTATTGTACATCAGATGACACCTGTGGGGAGGAGGTTCCAGTGGGTGATGGATGCACCTATTATTGATTTGATATGTCTGTAGTTTTGGGTGTGTCCATGTCTTGTTCTGTGAAAAATAAATTTGCAAATTCAGCAAATTTTTGTGTGACCTTTCATCATTTCAAATGAACTCAGAACACCATTTCAGTGCTCTCCTCTGCCCTTTGAAACTGGGGATACAGTTTACCTCTATTAATGTATTTATATAGTACTTGAAAACCAGGGGTAAAAGTTTTGGTTTCATCCATTAAGGGGTTTTGTACTCTCTTATTAGGGAGTAATGGGGAACACTGCAATTTAAAAAAATAAATGATGAGTCCAATTACTTAGAGATGTGTACAGTGTGGTCCGAGGGACTAAACAGTGGCCATGTGGGTTCTCAAAATTTTAGCAAATTCCATGTGAAAAGCACTGAAATGTTATACGGTCTTTGCATTTGGGTCGTGCTGATAACATTGCAGAACCAGCATCAAAGATAAGTGCCTTGGAAATAACAGATCACATTATATCATCTGGAAATTGGTTCTGGTCATATCACATGCACTATTGCCCTGCATGACCTCGGACTCGGATAATTTTGGTTGCTGTAACATGTCACACTTCTAGAAAGAATAAAAAACAGTGATTAAAACCATTCACCATAAAATATTTTGGTGTATATTTCCTTGACAAATTTGTGTATCTTTTCCAGATACATATTCTTACACACCAAACATCTTACCAGATATATATAATGAAATATCATCCATCCTCGGATGCCAATGTTTTGTCGTCGTCTGTCATGTAAATAAAAACTGACAATGAAAGATAGGCCATACCTTCTCATAATATTTTGGGAAGTCCAAACATACATGTCTTATATTAGAAAAATGATGATTTTTTTCATTTATCACTTTTGACGACTCATTTCTGATTTAAGTTTACTAGCGAGCTGTAGACAAAGAGATGAAAAATCAACTGTATTCAAAATTTTGTATTAGAAAAGAGAAGTTTACCAAGAAATATGGCTCATATGGGAAAACATGAACCAAATCATAAAACCTTGAATTTAACACTTTAGAAAAGGTGGATATATGTATCCAGCACTTTCGCACTATGAATTTATTTTAATTTTTATCAAAATACCATTCCCGTTCAAATGATGATTCTATGTGATATATTCATACTTCTGGGACATTGTAAGCTAACTTAACTCAAACGTTTCTATGATTTAGCGATGTCATCAGAAACGGAAGTGCTGATACATATCCGATACAGATGTTGGTCATTTTCAGGTGAGCGAATTTGAGGTCGTATCTGTTTGGGTTTTTTTTTCAGAAAAGTAATGGTGCTTCACCGGTCAGTCTTTCCAATAAATGTTAAAGTATGAACAAGTTTTAATTTATCTATGTATTTGTTTGGTGGCAATTCGTCGACATAGCGTAACAGGCGAGAAATGATTATTAAGGTCCGAAACTACTGCGCCAAGGATAACTAGTAACAGTTCAAAAATGCATACTTGTCCCAATTGTGGTCCCATTTTACACTTGGTTCGAAATTAGAAGTCCAAGAAGCGTCGGCATGAAATTTCTGTGGATCGTTTTTATAAACAACGCCTGCCGCAACAGCGACACCGCCGACTACAGCGATACTTCGCCGTGCCAATCTACTCCAACCAGCCATTCTTGTTTACCATGATCAAAGTCGTAAATACGCTTTGCAAGTCTTTTGTAAAAGTCGAAAACGACACATATACATTTTCGGAACAAGTGATCATCGTCAAGACTATTAAACAATATATTTCTGAACATCTTATTTTAAACGTACGATATGTGTTAGTATTGCTTGAATTTTTTTTTTCAAAATTGTTTGATAATCATCATCATCACCATCTCATCATCATGGTAAAAATAGTAAAATTTTATTTATTCTTGTCTTATTAAACAACGATGTTGGGATGGTCTTTTTCAAATTCGGGGTATCTATAAATATTTATTGATATCTTACATCTTTATTTGCCCTTTGAAAGTTGGATCTTTTCCCTTCTTTTCTCTACTCTGTTTTTGCTCTTAATAATGAGAAATTTGAACATTCCTTTGCAGAAATAGCGATGGTAATCTTTACCTGCCAAATCCAAGCTGGTTTTCCTTATCAGTCCGAAACTCAAACGTGAGCCCTACACTTGAAATTTGAGAAAGATCTATGCAATGATTCTCTAGTGATAACAAACTTTCAAAATGAAAACCCAAGATGGCCGTCTGTCAGCCATTTTGTTTTTCTGATCAGTCCCAAAATCAAATGGGCACAACTAGAGACAAAAGGAAACCTATTTATAAAATCTGAGAGAGATCCATTGAGTCCTTCTCAAGAAATAGCAATCCAAGATGGCTGCCTGTCAGCCATTTTATTTTTTGGATCAGTTCAAATATCAACTAGGGATCAAGGGGAACCTACATCTGAAATTTGAGAAAGATCCAAGTAGTACTTCTCAAGAAATAGTGATAAAAATTGTTTATGGACGAACACACAACGGGTCCACGGATGTAGTGAGATTTGAACAGCACACCATCTGATAATGGTGGGCTAAAAATACAAGGAACAATAAATCTCATGGTTTTGCGCATTTACAACCCATGGTTTTCTGTACAATTTACTGTAGCAAAGCAGTTGCTCTGAAAGGCACTGCAGAAAAACATCAAATAATAACAATGAGACACCAGGTATTTCATTATTCAAGTTTTATTTGTTTGATAATCTGGAAATACATGGCAGAGCTAACTGTGGTCCATCTACACTGTATCTCAAGTACAAATGTAGTTACTGTTGACTTTGGAGATGGGCTGAAGCATGAACAGGTATGACACAACTGAGAAGTGACTAGAGTTTGTTTTTGGTAGGTTTTACCAAAGTAAAACAATAGAAACATAACTTATGTAGAGAAGTTGATGACAGGTTTTCCAGAAGGTTTTACAGTATATTTCTAGACTATTTCCATCAATGATGTGTAGCAGATACAAAAAGGATAAGTTTGTACATCTCAATCAATACAAGTCTGTGCTCTAGACAAAATCTTTTACAAATATCTCCACAAAGAAATATCATTTTACTCCAACTGGTGTTTTTCATCAGTATTTTTAGAAAAAGCCAAGTGTTCATGGGTAGAAAAATCACATGTCTAATTTATAATAACACCATAGAAATAATTCATTTCAACTTTTAGTCAGAATAAAGTATATATGTTCCAGCATTATTGAAATGTATAACAACTTCTATAAACTATGATAGGTCTCGACCAGCAAAACTTTACATATATCTGAAATATAATTTCAACAAAACAAGCAGGATTTTAATGTTAAATCATTTTATCTTTAGATAATATTCCACAGCCTGTATTCTTCTTAATCAAAACAATTTGGAAAATTTCACAATTCCATATCTGTGTTCCATCAAATACCTCAAGCACAAATCACGTAGCCAATACACTACTGCTATATTTGCTGAATTCAAAATGATGGAAGTCATGACAGATCACCACTACACTAACATTTGATATCAAAGAAGTTAAAAATACTGCTGGTTCCTAACAAATTTCAGAAATTAAAATTTGAACACACATGTCATCAATATTTTTATTACAAAGCAATCTCTGTCTTCATTATAACAATTTTTTTTTTCTTTAAAAATGAACAAAATAGTGTGAGACAGTTGAGATTTCTGAGATTTCAAGTCAATAAAAAATGAAAAGTATAAATCTATTGTAGTGAATACCAAAGTAATGGTAGCTACACTCTGCCCATTTAACTTCATAACAAACAGAACATTTAAATAATAATAATTTGTCACCAGCTGATGACAAAGCTAAATCATCTCTCTCAGCATCAAAGTTACATTTACATGATCCGAGATTTTCTGTAAAACTCAACAAATGAATTTATAATCCTGGTCAAATATGCAGGTAGCCTGCCCACACACAACTGATCATTAGTCTTCAGATGTAGAGAAAGTGTTACCAGGATAACCTAAGAGATAAATTCCCTTAAACAGTAACTGATAACAAATCACCTATCATCCAAAATATGGTAAAGGACAGACAAAGCTTTACCTGCTTTGGAGAACTGATAAAGAGTTATCTGCCCTTTAGCAATAGATAAAATAATTATCATGTATAAATGGTTACTTCCACATGCATAAAATTAAAATGCTTTATTATTTACAACTACGTACACCTTCAATTCATTGAGTATAAAATACTTTTCCACGACACACAACATTGATAAATAACATACAAAAACCCTTGGTCATACATTCATACTCTGGAAGCATTCATTCCTTATCGATCTGTCATTCATGCTGACCCATACATACATAAAGAGTATACACAGCACAGTGTCCTGTGGAGTGGATCTATCATATACTAAAACCAAGCACTATAGAACCACAGAGATTGAATACCTCACACAAAACATGATTAACAAACATCTCCTCACCAAATACCGAAATTTTCTCACTCTGTTACTTTAAAAAAGCAATTATAGAGAAATTTAAACATTATTGTTCTTTCTTTAAATTCTCTCATGGATTACAAACAATGATCATTCTTAGATGTATATGGTGTAAAGACTGTGTGTAAACTGCAATGTTCTTATGGTCATGTTAACAAGCCCTGTTACAGTGGTCTCTAATGGAGAGACCAACAGATCTATCATAGTAGTCTCTAATGAAGGGACCAATAGACCTTTTATTAAAGTGTCTGATGAAGGGAAAAGTTGACCTTTTATTGAACTGTCTGATGAAGGGACCAATAGACCTTTTATTAAAGTGTCTGAGGAAGAGACCAATGAACCTTTTATTGAAGTGTCTGATAAAGGTGCCAATAGACCATTTATTAAGGTGTCTGAGGAAGGGATCGATGGACTTTTTATTGATATCTTTCAGATCACTGATGATCAAATAAAAGCGGATTACAATTACTTGGTCTTGCAGCTGGAAACAGTCACAGTTCAGATTCAATTTTCTTTTTAATTTTTAAGAATTATTTCAAAAAATGAAACAAATTAGAAGTAAATGTTGGTTTGATTTCAAATGGAAATGTGTAGGTTTTAAATCATGATAGTTAGAAATTGAACTATACAATGGCATTCTGCGGCAACTAACATTGGTGTGTATATTTATGAACAGGAAATGTTAAAGATGTACCTCACAAAACCTTCCACTTAAACAATCTTGAAAACATGAATCCTTTCTTTAAAAAAATATCAAATTTAGAATGATAAGATAATCTGATGCAAAAGTGTTTCCTTTATGAATTATAGAAAAAAACTGCCAAAAAAAAAAAAAAAATATTCAGCTAAAATCCAGCAATAGAATCAAGAAAAGTACATTTTTAAACAAAGCATATCATTTGGTAATCAACCAAACAAGTTATAAATGACTAAAGGTATTCATTTAATGAATATAATTTATGTATATGTCTAGCTTTACCTCAAATGGTTTTTTTATTACAATTGTAATAAAGTCTAGATTTCCACACAAAATCTCTTGTTTCTAGATGTAACTAAATATTCAAGCAGTTCAAGTGCACATAAGCTGCAAACAGTTGATATGTGTACAAAAAATTAAACAAACAATATGAGGTAACTAGGTAACTCAGCTCATAAGTCGTGTTGGCTTACGGAATATCAACATTCAGATACTGATCCACAGTAATACAGATTCTCTGGGAACTTCTCATCTGTGTGCATTGTTACACTAGCATTGTATCCAATTAACACAAGCCGTTCACTAATATTCTGAAAAGTTAAGTTATACATCAGGAAATGTTTGGTTTGATGCTTTTACTATGAATACAATGTAAACCATCTGTGATGATGAATACATACACCCAACTAAATTTTTTCAATTTTGGTTCATTCTACTGGTGATTACATCTAAATTCTCTGGGACTGTCTAGTAACTAATGGAAAGTTGTTAAATCAATGTTCTTTCAAAACCTCCATGGTTGTTTCTGAAACAATTAAATAATATACATGAACGGTAATACCAAATACATGAAATATGATATCATACATTTTCACTGTATCAGAAATGTTACTAAGTTCCTACGAGACTTCTGTTGGTGTAAAAACCTTAATACATATTATAATAAATATCCATATAACTCCTTCTACAAACTGAACATATTTGGTCAACCAATTTATAGAACAAATTGCTCCCATGCAATATAGAAGAAAATCAATATCCTTTGTGGAAAAATATGGAAGGTTTTTAGGACAGAAGAAGAAAAGGGTAACTTGTGTAAGGGATATCAAGCAATCGATATAACAGAGCCTGTATGTTCAAAAAAGGATTTTCTATTAAAAAAATTGACATAATAATAGGTTAATAATTTTTGTTTTGCATTTCAACACACATTTTACAAAAATAATACAAGAAGATTGCCTGAATCATTTACTTGCAACTTAATTGTTTGAAAAACATGTATTACATGTTTGAAATCTGATGCAGGTCAACGTCACACTGAATATTTATTCAAATCATTTATTTGCAGCATAGTATTGGTTAGACATGCTTTTCTGAATTCACAAGTTGTGTAAGAAGTTGGTTCTTTGGACATTATGTAAGGATATCTAGAAATTTGACCTCTCTGGCAGTGACAGTAAGATACTGACTGAATCAATGTATTACTTCAGGCCTCCAATTCCTAAAGGAAGTTGTTAAACTGCTTAACAAACTGGATTACTTTGACCTTAATCAAGGTCATTCCACTGTGAAGGACTCCATGGCAGCAACCACACTGGCTGAAAATCATGACTTTTTCAATCTTATAATAGTTAGCTCCAGGTCAAAGTTCATGTCCTTAGTAGTTCTGGTTCCATGGAATTCATGGACAATCACCTATAGTCGATAACTGTGACCCTGACAGTATGACATTGAAACTTCATTTTGTGAAATTTGTAGGTATTCATCCAAGAAAGCTACAATCCTAGTATCATATCACCAACCAAATGTTTAACATGAAGTAGTGATTTACAGAAATATAGACAATGGATGGACTAGTAACAAGTGTCTATATGTTTGAACAAACAAGCTCTGTAACTCACTTTGGTTAGTTGGCTGTAGTGAAATACAACCAACAAAGTTTATGTTGTTTGATCTGAAAATTATAGGCCACTATTGAAATAATGTTTGTCTTTTTATATTCAGTTTAGAAATAAAACAAGACTTGCTTGTACAGTAGAAGTTTTATCTAGCTCTCAAAATCTTAAATACCAAACTTGATATTGTGATGCAGTAGATGTAGTAGTGAAAACAAATTATAAATATTTGCTTCCCTTGTGGTAATATAATTCAAACGCTCCTGTAAATAAGGTATTTCATTTTCTACAGAGTATCATTCTTGAAAATGCTTTGAACTGTACCCAAATAATAAAAAGTAATCTTTACAGGACTTTTCAGTATTCACATATACCCCCAACTAAATCGAAAAGTGCCACCATTTTCAACTGTTTTATCATCAATGTTGTGATATCTGTAATCAATATTGTTTAACTAGAATTCTTAAACGATCAACATCACTCAACAATGTTTTACTGTGATATTCAACACTGTTTAACAGTCGACATCACTCAACAATGTTTTACTGTGATATTCAACACTGTTTAACATTCAACATCACTCAACAATGTTTTACTGTGATATTCAACACTGTTTAACATTCAACATCACTCAACAATGTTTTACTGTGATATTCAACACTGTTTAACAGTCGACATCACTCAACAATGTTTTACTGTGATATTCAACACTGTTTAACATTCAACATCACTCAACAATGTTTTACTGTGATATTCAACACTGTTTAACATTCAACATCACTCAACAATGTTTTACTGTGATATTCAACACTGTTTAACATTCAACATCACTCAACAATGTTTTACTGATATTCAACACTGTTTAACATTCAACATCACTCAACAATGTTTTACTGTGATATTCAACACTGTTTAACATTCAGCATCACTCAAAATTGTTTTACTGTGATATTCAACACTGTTTAACATTCAACATCACTCAACAATGTTTTACTGATATTCAACACTGTTTAACAGTCGACATCACTCAACAATGTTTTACTGATATTCAACACTGTTTAACAGTCGACATCACTCAACAATGTTTTACTGATATTCAACACTGTTTAACAGTCGACATCACTCAACAATGTTTTACTGATATTCAACACTGTTTAACATTCAGCATCACTCAACAATGTTTTACTGATATTCAACACTGTTTAACAGTCGACATCACTCAACAATGTTTTACTGATATTCAACACTGTCTGTTTATGCTGAATTATGAATCAATGATGTTTCAATACCAACCAATACTGTTTAATCATTGATTAATATTTAAGAATTCATCAACAGCGAGAAATGTTTGAGAGATACTATTAGTGAATTCCTATTTCTCTAACACACTATGGAGATCTTTTGATTGCTCTGTTGATGAGTAATTATAACAAGTAGCCCTCCTGTGTATGAATAGTTTACTACAGTCATTCTACTGAAATCTTATAAACAATGAACAAGATCATCTTTTAATTAAATGGATTTCATGTTTGATAAAAACTGGGATTAAGTCTAAGAACTTAAAGCCTTCATCTTTATTACCGAACATCAGGCTTTTCAATGCTATCAAATTTGGACATAGATATGAAATTTTAAGTGTAAATTCCTTTGTCCAAACATCGACATTTTTGGAAAAACAAGAAGCATAGAGGAAATCCCATATTGTTGAATAAATGATAAAGCTTGTTTCTCATTACTTACAGAATCTTCAGGATGAAGCCATGTGCAAAGTTCACAATATTGTAAACTGTCTGGATATTTGAATCACAAAACGTTTGGTGCACTGATACATTACATTGTATGATACACTTTCAAACCGCTTCATCACTGAAGATTCTATTATAAAACAGTTGAAAAGAAATTCTCCAATGAAGAAATCCACAATTATAACATTGGCATCCTAAGAAAGGATGACAACATAAAGCTATTTTGGTAAACTGGTCTATCTCAACAATAGTCATAAATACTCATACAAGATTTCAACAATTTATAAAGCAAATGAGGACAATTTTGCCTCAACGTTATTGAGCCTGATGAAGAAGACGTGATTAGAGTCACATGTCTGACATTAAGTTCTGTACATGAAACTCACAAATTCTTAAAACATTCTCGAATGACGGGTTAAATTTTGGAGTAACTATGAACAATGGGGAATCTAAAATAAGACTTTATGATAACATATACAGCTTCCAGGGGAGGTTTTAAACGCACACAGAGATCGCTCCCCATTTAGCACAGAGGTCATAGGTCAGATCTAAATATGCATAAAATGGGGTTCATACAATAACTTTTCTACCTGAAACGTGTACTAAAAAATAGTAACACTATTTTCCATTTTTGCCAATTTCAATCACAAAATGCAAGTATATGAAATGTACATCATCATAACAATTAGAAATCACAGATAAAATAAAAATTGTAGCATGTAAATTAAAATGTCCGACCAGGTTAGAAGTCTTCAGCCATTGAATGGTGTGTCACGGCATAACATGGACACCAGGTGCTTAAAATAACCAATCACAGCCTTGAAGCACATCAATCTTTTGATGACAATTTTCTTTCAATCCAGGAAACATTATCCATTTCCATGTGCACTCTCCCATCTCATATTTTTGTTTTTCTGATATTTGATGATTGGCACAAAATGAATAAATATTTTAAATACAGCTAAATATTCATTCCAGCCAAAGAAATACACAAAATAATCCACAGTGCCGGACTTCTGCTGTTCAGGCTGGCCAACAAGTGTGCAGCTTTCCTCAACAGCTTTTATTTTGGATTTGCATCAGATCTCTGGTAGAACATAAATATATTCCTAGGTTTTATTTGAAATTAAAATATTTTCCACAGAGTGACGACCTTCAATCAACAACTCTTGGATCAAACATTCAATAGATATCTTTGTTATAGAAACAAGGTTGCCCTTCACAACTGGAGAGGAGATTCCATACACAGGTGATATCTCACAGGATGCCCACTGGTAAGCGACACTTGTTTCTGACATGCTAACTCAGACTAAATGGGTTTTAGCCTAGCTTCCGTTGCTGTTTCTATGTTCTAGAGGGGGTTTGAAGTTTTCTGAGCTAGGACTATTAGCGATAGCCGCACCATACATCTTGCTAGCTTTGGTTGTCATCTGAGCCATCATCTGTGTAGAGGTCTTGTATCCACTGATGATCTCATCCTTCCATTGGTTTATCAGTACCCTGTCCTGTAACATAAACCATCCTTACTGTATTTACCAATATCTACATCAATACCTATATACCAATACCTCTATGTATCAATATCTCTATATATTACCAATATCTATATATATATACCAATATCTATATATATATATATATATATATACCAATATCTCTATATATACCAATATCTATATATATATATATATATATATATATATATACCAATATCTATATATATCTATATATACCAATATCTATATATATACCAATATCTCTATATATATACCAATATCTATATATATACCAATATCTATATATATATATACCAATATCTATATATATACCGATATCTCTATATATACCAATATCTATATATATATCTATATACCAATATCTCTATATATATACCAATATCTATATATATACCAATATCTCTATATATACCAATATCTATATATACCAATATCTATATATACCAATATATATATATATATATATATACCAATATCTATATATATACCAATATCTATATATATACCAATATCTCTATATATACCAATATCTCTATATATACCAATATCTCTATATATACCAATATCTATATATACCAATATGTATATATATATATATATATATATATATACCAATATCTCTATATATATCCAATATATATATACCAATATCTATATATATACCAATATCTATATATATACCGATATATATATATATACCAATATCTATATATACCAATATCTCTATATATACCAATGTCTATATATATACCAATATATATATATACCAATATCTATATATATATACCAATATCTATATATATATACCAATATATATATATACCAATATCTCTATATATATACCAATATCTATATATACCAATATCTCTATATATACCAATATCTCTATATATACCATATATCTATATATACCAATATCTATATATATACCAATATCTATATATATATATATATACCAATATCTCTATATATATACCAATATCTATATATATATATATATACCAATATCTCTGTATATACCAATATCTATATATATATACCAATATCTCTGTTTATACCAATATCTATATATATATACCAATATCTCTGTTTATACCAATATCTATCTATACCAATATCTCTTTATATACCAATATCTATATATTTACCAATATCTATATATACCAATATCTCTATATATAACAATATCTATATATTACCAATATCTCTATATGCCAATATCACTATACCGACATATATACATGTACTGTTATCTACCCACTTATATTCCAATATCTTATCAATATCTACCTATATATATACAAATATCGAGCAATATCTATGCCAAAATGTGTGTTTTTTTATACTGTTTATAGTTTAAAAGATGAGTTGTGTAAAAGAAAGTTATTGACAAATAAATTCTATATTTCTTTTCAGTAAATATGTATTATCAAAACAGCATACTGTATATTACATTTTGCGTCTTGAAATTTCAATTCTATATATAAGGTATACTTTAGAATTATACTTTAGAATTATTTTAAGTTGAAACAACTTCAATTACAACCAAGCATAATCACTGTACTGTTTCTAATTCATGTTGTCAGTAATCTTTTTAACCTTACACTAGAAAGCAAACTGAAAATAATCCTAACTCTAAAAAACATTCAAAAACATAATGATCCTCAATCTCATTAATATGTCCAATTCTACATGTGGTATTTAACGACCGTTGATGAGTGTTGGCCACGAAGGGTTCCACTTACAGGAGAAGTGATGGCTAGCTTTGTGTCATTTTTCTGTACTATAACTATACAGTTTTCTGTTTTATTCAACTTCTGAAATTCTTGATACACTTCCTTAATGTCCAACATTGACACCAACTGAAAAAATAAAACAATAGGTAACAAGATTTCAAAATTACATTTTGTTTAAAATTAAAGATTTTGTTCAACATTAAATAGAATTATTCAAGATAGCATGGGATTTGTTCAACATTAAATGGATTTTATTCAACATCAAACAAATTTATTCAAGATAACATGGGTTTTATTCAACATTAAATGGATTTTATTCAACATCAAATGAATTTATTCAAGATAACATGGGTTTTGTTCAACATTAAATGGATTTTGTTCAATATTACATGGGTTTTGTTCAACATTAAATGGATTTTATTCAACATTACATGGGCTTTGTTCAACATTACATGGGCTTTGTTCAACATTACATGGGCTTTGTTCAATATTACATGTTTTTTATAATCAAGACTGTTTATTCATTACATATTGTGTATAATAATGTAATTTAATATACATCAATGACCTTTATCAATTAATTCAAATTTTACACAAAACTGTTGTTAACACAAATATCATTGTATGATTGCTGTTGACCACACAGAGATGTTGTTATAGTCACAACAAATCCTTTATATCAGAGCTGCCCAATATTTGTTATGTATAAGTACATTCTCATCATAATTTATGGACGGCTTTTAATTCATCATTTATTAGTATTCAGGGAGAGATCTGGAGTTCAACAAAGCTGACTTCTTACAATGAGTAATAAAAAGGTTTTCACCAGTAACAAATCTCTATATGAGCATCAGAAATGGAAGTGTACAGAAATCTTGCCCTACTGTGATCATCTTACACCACCCGACATACCTCCACTCCTTTTCCTCGAACAACTTGTCCATCTTTGTTCTTGCTGTAAAATTCTAATCTATTGGGATACAATTTGAGGTGTTTCTTCTGCCATGTTTGTAGAAAAGGTCCTCCTAACTTTAGCACTTCTCCTTCCACTATACAGTCTGTTGGACCTGAAAACACAAGCTTACACACTGGATTTACCTTCTCACTTATCTTTATCAATTAATCTCAAATTTACCTTATTTTATTGGATATGTTAGTAAAATCCATCTGATTAAGTGCTACAACATGACTAGCTATACACCTACATATCAAAACCATATATCTTGTATTTTATCTCTGAAATAATGATGCTGTTTAATAACCTATGGCTGAATATAGTAGAAACTAATCGGTGATACCATAAATGACTGCTACTGACCTAAGTTGGTAAACACCTCATCTCAGACGTAAAGTCAAGGGATGGATTTATTACAGGAGCCATAGACCAACACCTAACCTCTCACTTACAGGCTTTGAACCAAAGTCACAAAAGGGGTTTATTACATGGGCCATGGGGCCAATATCTAACTTCTGACTCAAAGTCAGAATATGGGCTTATTACAGGGGCCAGGGGACCACAATGTAACCTCTGATTCAAAGTCAGAATATGGGCTTATTACAGAAGCAATGGGGCCAATATGGAACCTCTGACTCAAAGTCAGAAGATGGGCTTATGACAGGGGCCAGGGGACTACAATGGAACCTCTGATACAAAGTCAGAATATGGGCTTATTACAGAAGCAATGGGGCCAATATGGAACCTTTGACTCAAAGTCAGAAGATGGGATTATGACAGGGGCCAGGGGACCACAATGGAACCTCTGACTCAAAGTCAGAATATGGGCTTATTACAGGGGCCAGGGGACCACTATGGAACCTCTGACTCAAAGTCAGAAAATCATGCATTCATTCAACCTTAATTGAAAGTTGAATAGTTGTGTTTAAAAAACTGTTATATCATCTATTATTCTGGCTTGTTTCAAATCTGCCTTGTAACCAATTCAGGCAGCCAATCTGAAACACAGCTGAAATTTATTTGGAAAAACATACCAACATCCACATCATCAATTCTTGGTTTCTGCTTCCGTTTCTGCTCCAGCTTGTCTGTATCGGTATTGATTGCCTCAAACACCGTCTCTGCCACTTCCTGTTGCCATCTCTCTGAGACGACCAATGGAAAGTTCCGATACAATTCTTGGTCAGCTTCTGCTAACTGGAAACACAAAAATATCATGTCATCTATTAATATTCTATAACTTTGTGCAAAATTCAAAATACTTTTTGTTTTTCATGCATTAAACATCCTGAATATCTTATTCTTCAGGAAACACATTGTTCCTCAGCAGAATAAATCTGAAATATTACTGTAAAGATATATGTTAGTGGTATTATCATTGTGGCACTTTCTGTGCTGAAAGTTTGGTGTAAATTACAGTTTCTATATGCTGTCTCTATAGTGCTTCTTATGCATGTGCAAAGTAAGCACTGCTCTAATTTATCAAATAAAAAAAAGGGAGCTAAACTTTGATTATGTTAAATAATGTTAGTTTACAGTAAATGGCATAAAAAAGGGGTATTTCTCAGTAACAGAAACTGTCCATAAAATTTTGCAAAAATTTCACTACTCACTTTAATGCCTTTTGTGTCTTCTTCATCAAAGGACCCAATATCGAAAGCATCGGCTGCATTGACCTCGCCCCTTGGGGGAATGAGAGGCGGAGTATATTTCTGGAGGTACACCTGAGTCCAATCAATGGTTCGGAAAAATGGATGTTCCTTCACCTCCTGGGCTCTGTATAAAGTGATAATTATATACATATTGATCAATAAACTTTTGATGAATCAGCAAAGCTTGATTTTTTTGTTTTGTAAATTGGTAATTCTTTCATGTCTCATTAACACTTTATTAATATATTGTTGAAAACTACTTTCATGTCTCATTAACACTTTATTAATATATTTCATGTCTCATTAACACTTTATTAATATATTTCATGTCTCATTAACACTTTATTAATATATTGTTGAAAACTATCTAAATTTTAAAATCATTCAAAAACAGTGAAATGCAGATAATCACAGAAAAATTGGTTAATTTTGTCTGCAGGAGTTATCTTTCTTTATCAATAATGATCTGTCACCTTGTCCACTAATTGGCTACAATAGGAATATTTTTGGATGATATATCAATGATTCATTAGTTTGTAAGTTTGTAAATCTTACCCCGAAATATTCCTACAATGGTTATATAATCAAAGATAATAGGACTGAGATGAATGATGTATCTAAAATAGAGTTATAATTGGGAGTCCCTAAACAAGACCACATAGACTTTGTCTGGTGAAATATTGATTAAACACAGCTAGCTTCTGGACATCTGTCTGGAAATAGTGTCTAACTGGGAACAATATCTTCAAATATATTTCTGAAAATTTAATAATGTGGATTGGGTTTTAACAGAACTGCATTACATTTGAACTACACTATGCCAGTCACAGACACTGAAGAGATCTGCTTCCCTTCAACACAGCCATCCATAATCAATTCAAATACAACGAGTTACAAACAAATGATTCCAGAACAGTATTGGTTATTTAATGGATGTTTCTACAAATGGATTTAATCTGAATGATACATATTTCACCCTGTACACACATACCCCCTGCAAATACAGCCTAGTCTGTCATTGTTTTGAAGGGTATTTATACCCCCTGCCCATACAGCCTAGTCTATCATTGTTTTGAAGGGTACACACACACACATTTCCCCTGCCCATACAGCCTAGTCTATCATTGTTTTGAAGGGTATTTATTTCACCCTGTACACACACATTTCCCCTGCCCATACAGCCTAGTCTATCATTGTTTTGAAGGGTATTTATTTCACCCTGTACACACACATTTCCCCTGCCCATACAGCCTAGTCTATCATTGTTTTGAAGGGTATTTATTTCACCCTGTACACACACACTCCCTGCCCATACAGCCTAGTCTGTCTTTGTTTTAAAGGGTATTTATTTCACCCTGTACACACATACCCCTGCCAATACAGCCTAGCCTGTCATTGTTTTTTGAAGGCTATCTATTTCACCCTGTACACACACATACCCCCTGCCCATGCAGCCTAGTCTGTCATTATTTTGAAGGGTATTTATTTCACCCTGTACACACATACCCCCTGCCAATACAGCCTAGTCTGTCATTGTTTTTTGAAGGGTATCTATTTCACCCTGTACACACACATACCCCCTGCCCATACAGCCTAGTCTGTCATCTACACTCCGCTGTAGTAGTCCTTCCAATAGAGCCTTCATTTCACACGTCATGGAATCTGGCAACTCTACATTCTACAAGAAAGAAAATAAAGTATATAACATTGAAAAACAAAGAAAATATTGAAAAATTTTATGACAAGAAAACAATGAATGCTTCAATACATACTGCTGGGAAATATTGCCATGAACCATCAACTTTCTGTGATCATTCTTAAATCAAAATAATGACATATTTGTTGTGTTATGTTAACAGTATCTCAAGATAAATGTATGTTCATCAGAACAGAAAAAATTTCTTTTACAATCTCACACTGCTCACGAGCAGTTTGAAGTTTTACCTGAGGTGATCTATCTTGTTTTAAGCTATGTTTACATCAATACAGACTCTGAATACACAGTGGTTTATAAATTAAAGTGTTTGAGTAAACTTACCATAGTCATGGTCATTCTGTCAATTTCATGTTTGTCTTTGGTTCTGTGTTGCCTGAAGGGACTATGTCTGTAAAAATATAAAGACAAATGATGATTAAAATCAAAGAATGTAGCTACGATTATCAAAGGGTGAATGAAATTATATCAAGTATAAACACGACCCTCAATTATCCAATCAAAATACATCCTATAAATCAGCCATCAACAATCAACCAATCAAAAGCCATCTTGAAAATAACTACGTGGTAATCCTCACTCATCAAAAATTTAAAGAATCACCACTTCCAGTGAAAAATAAGCGGTTAAGAACTGACAAATAAAAATAAACCAATCACCACTCATGTCTGAAAGATTAGTACCCAGTCATCATACATGTAAGAACCAACCAATCACCACTCACGTCTGAAAGATTAGTACCCAGTCATCATACATGTAAGAACCAACCAATCACCACTCACGTCTGAAAGATTAGTACCCAGTCATCATACATGTAAGAACCAACCAATCACCACTCATGTCTGAAAGATTAGTACCCAGTCATCATACATGTAAGAACCAACCAATCACCACTCACGTCTGAAAGATTAGTACCCAATCATCATACATGTAAGAACAACCAATCACCACTCACGTCTGAAAGATTAGTACCCAATCATCATACATGTCAGAACCAACCAATCATCACTCGTGTCTGAGAGATTAGTACCCAATCATCATACATGTCAGAACCAACCAATCATCACTCGTGTCTGAGAGATTAGTACCCAATCATCATACATGTAAGAACCAACCAATCATAACTTGTGTTTAAGAGTAAACAATGAGTTCTCTCACCTGAGATTAACTAAACATCAAAGAATTATAATTCACACAAGAATTCACCGATCTGACCAATCATTATCATCCTCAGTTACATGCACTGTACCTTCATAATACTGACCAATACACACTCACCCTTTTAGTAATTTGTACAGCATACAGCCTAGAGAGAACCAGTCAGCACTGGAGTCATATGGTGTTCCCTTAGATAGGACCTCAGGAGCCATATACCCATGTGTTCCCCTGTAGATAACCAACATATTAAATAAAACATTGATGTTCATCCTCTCTTTGTCTTCAATTCATTTCAATTAGATCCTTACATTTTTATATGTACCAATATATATACCAGCAACATTCAAATTACACATCTACATATGTCCATGATACTTTCATAGTTGTATTTAATTTCAGTTTATAGTCCATATGTGGTATTGTTAGCCAATGAAATAAGAGAATCTGAGAGACTATATACTTGAAATGCACGAGCCTGTTTCAATCCTCTATAAATGAATCATTACAAGTTGTAGCATAGCTGGTTATTTTTTGCCAGTTACTATTTTCACAACTTTTTGTTTAAGAAAAGAAAAGAAAATTGAAACATATCAAAAATAACATGATCTGAATATTAGAGGATATTTTCATGAAATTTGCTTCTGATGTTAAGTTTGAAATATGTCATTGTTGATTAATCAACCAAGCACCTGCATGACTGAACAAGACTTATGTCTTATATTAATAATTTAAACTTATCATTCATTTTTATATTAACTTCTATTTATTTATAAATGGATATATTCCATAAAAAATGTACAATTACTTAGTATTACATTTCATTTATTCTACAAAATTTAGATGTTGTAAATAACTGTAAGTTAGGTAGTGATGGTACTGATAAGACAATAGGTTTTTGTCAAACTTTACTTCGCAAATGAAATCCATAAGATTTTCAAATTAACGTCCCATGAAATAGCAAAACTACAAAAATATCTAGCTATATAGAACATATTAAACAATGACCTAATCCAAAGTACATCAACTCATTAGAAGTTACATACAACATAACTAGCTGAAGTATTTAACAAGGGTATATAAGTTATCAAAAGTTTTGGACAAACCCCAATGCTTTATGATAAACGTTCACTTACACGCTGGCATGTGGCTTCTTCTTGGAAAAATCACAGGCTAAACCTAAATCTGATATTCTCACATGGCCATTTTCATCTAATAAAATATTTGCAGGCTGAAATATAATACAATGTTTGATAAACATAAATCATCAGATTAGGATTTTGACAAAGAGAAAATTTTTGTGGTAGCAACAGATTTTTTCACATGATGAACATTACTAGTCCTGGTTTATCAATTTGGAATAGGACCAAAAAATACTAATTTTGATAAATTTCACAAATGATTAAAATTTCTGGCAGTTATGTTCTTCCATTAACCATACAAGTTTAACTTTGCTTAACTATGCAGTGTATACTCTCTATCTCTAACACCTAAGCCCTCTTGGCTTACTGCAGGGTTCTCAGGAAGATGAGAAATGGACTCCTTTGTGCTGGTGTTTTTTGTGTTCTTTGGGCACACAATCAAAGCAGGTTTACCAGTTAGAAGCTTCTCTATCATTTATAAACTCAAATATCACAAATTCTTTATCTGACATGGACTTTGTTTTCTAAACTTTTATCCAGATGAATCAAATACCGAAATTTGTACAATGTTGGATTGACAAAGGAATTCATAATAGGAAAATGTATTAACTATTAACTTTTCATCTGTATATCTAACCTTCAAATCTCGGTACACCACAAATCGGTTGTGCATATGTTCTAATCCTAGGATGACCTCGGCAGCGTAGAAACGGACTTCCCTCTCTGAGAAGACACCATGCTGGGACAAGTGATAGTGAAGGTCACCTCCATTCATCAAATCTAAGATGAAGCACAACTTCTCCGGTGTTTGGAACGCGTATGTCATACACACAATGAAAGGGCTGCCTTCCTGCTGGTGCACATACAAAAAATAACATAAGACATGTTCATAGATTTTCTATGGAAAGTTGAATCAATTGTTAAGGAGACAATGGCAACACAGAAAATGAAAATAAAACAAACAAAAAAAAAAACAAGAAAAAAAATCTTTTAATCACAGGTGTAATTAAATGATATAATGGTCTACTTCTATCAAAACCATACACATAAAAACACACGAGAATAACAATGTATCATTGGTTATATTTCATACCCAATATTTTAAACATATTGGTCTCAAATTTGTTTTACTTTAGAAAGTTTCCTACCATATTATGCCCCTTTAATCTACATATGAACATTTCTGACTGTTTACAAGGAACCATGGACTTAAAATTTCCCAGAATCATAAACTGATAACGAAACAGAAAATATAAATAAATGATAAACTTCCGATCTTTAGACGTACCCCTGTGCTGACTAGAGATAGCATTATTCTCTCATTTAAAGCTAGAGTTTCTCCCTGCTTCATCTTAATCCTCTTCTTATCCAAGCATTTCATTGCATACCTGGAGAAACACATAAAGTTGTACAGTAATAGATTACAGTGTTCAGACTCTAGACATTGCTCTCACTTCTTATAGTCATTGCCTTACTTCTGTTGTGTAAACATTTCACAACAGTGAAGAAAGAAACTGGATATTTAAATATTTATATCCTTTAGAAATAAAAATAATGGTCCACTTCACCATCTTAGACTTGTGTTGATTATTGTGCCTCTGATGCTACTTACATTTTGCCTGTATCTGCTTTCCTACAACCATATACCTCTCCGAAGCCACCTCGCCCAATAATCCTATGTACACTGAAGTCATTCATCGTTAACTGCAATGTATGTTACAAAATTGGTTAAAACAAGTGCCTTTAACATTGTGCACTAATAACATTAAATTAAGTCAGCCTGTCCCTAACTTACAGCTAGCATTCCACAACGCTTGCTACTCATTAAATTTGTCTCAAGTCCAACTCAATTTGTCAACCCCAGAACCCATACTTCATTACACTTTTATGACGTTACGTCTTCGATGCCTCTGATTAATCTCCTGGTATGAGAACTCCTAGTGCTTTTGGTAAAATATCCTGCTCTGTACTTACTAATTGCTGTTTAAACTTGTCCATGAGAGTAGATCAAGGAAATCACTTATACTTACGTACCTCTGTTTAAACGTGTCCATGAAAGTAGATCAAGGAGATCGCTTGTACTTACGTACCTCTGTTTAAATGTGTCCATGAGAGTAGATCAAGGAGATCGCTTGTACTTACGTACCTCTGTTTAAACGTGTCCATGAGTGTGGATCAAGGAGATCTCTTGTACTTACGTACCTCTGTTTAAATGTGACCATGAGCGTTGATCAAGGAGATCACTTGTACTTACGTACCTCTGTTTAAATGTGACCATGAGCGTGGATCAAGGAGATCACTTATACTTACGTACCTCTGTTTAAATGTGACCATGAGCGTGGATCAAGGAGATCACTTATACTTACGTACCTCTGTTTAAACGTGTCCATGAGCGTGGATCAAGGAGATCGCTTGTACTTACATACCTCTGTTTAAACGTGTCCATGAGTGTGGATCAAGGAGATCTCTTGTACTTACATACCTCTGTTTAAACGTGTCCATGAGCGTGGATCAAGGAGATCGCTTGTACTTACGTACCTCTGTTTAAACGTGTCCATGAAAGTAGATCAAGGAGATCGCTTGTACTTACGTACCTCTGTTTAAATGTGTCCATGAGAGTAGATCAAGGAGATCGCTTGTACTTACGTACCTCTGTTTAAACGTGTCCATGAAAGTAGATCAAGGAGATCGCTTGTACTTACGTACCTCTGTTTAAACGTGTCCATGAGTGTGGATCAAGGAGATCGCTTGTACTTACGTACCTCTGTTTAAATGTGACCATGAGAGAAGATCAAGGAGATCGCTTGTAAGAACAATTTGTTAATTCTTCGTAGGCTATTTAGTAATTATGTAAAGATTTCAACAAATTTGATCCTTATGACATTAAAAGTTTGGTCAAGGTCATTTATTTGAACAAACCTGAAGCTCGAAGCATGCCTTTTGATTAATATTATCCTTCTTGTCCAATTCTTTATTGTAATTAATTTTCTGTTGATTTTTTTTAAACACTTCTGATGCATTTCTGGATAAATGACGTAAAGACTTTAAAATCTATTAGGTAAAACCCTAACATGATTCTTCTTCTATGTGTATAGCAGCTGCCTTGAAATTAAATTGCCTAAGAAATTTCTCAAATACATCCTGCATACAGGAAGACCCATCTGTTGTGCAGGCTTATTGCAACATATTAGTTCTCAACAGAATACAAGTGGACCAAATTAATTCCTGAAAAAAAATTAATCAATAAAATGTGAGGAGAGTCAGACATCTGAAGTGGCTTGAAGAAGAAATAATTCATGCTTAATAACTGCAGTGAATGACATACTGGGACTAGTTGGTAGAGTTAAAGATACAGGGATCTGGTCTATGTATGGAGGGGTCTATACCAACTACACCATACTATATTGATCACAATTTTTAAGAAGTGGTCGCGAATAGATCCCTATCATCCAACATTGCTGGCTATGTAACTTTTTGACATTTCAACAACAACCCCTTGGGTTTGTAAAATAAACTGCACAAAATGTGCACATTAACTGTGTCCTTCAAATTAATCAGACTTTCTGGATACCTGCAGACATCACTTTTTTTCATAAGAAGGAATGCAAAAACATTTCAATCCATCATATATATTGGTAACTAGAATATGTCTGTAAGAAATGGATGACCCTAATGCCATGTATAAAAGTTTCCTTTTTTATGCATTTGAAAAGTTGACAAATGTAACTTTTGACCCTTAAATATTGAGTGATGATTACTTTAACAGGATCAGGTGTACAATTTGATGTTAATTGTGAACAGGATGAGACAGGATGGGACATATAGAGACAGTATATGTCACCACCACACAACTAGGACTTTCTGACCTTTGTGTTCCGGAAATCAATGCACATCTAAGATGTCCTTCAAATATTTGAGTTCCAGGAAGCCATACAAATTTGAGACTTTAAAATATTTGTGTTTCAGAAAGTTACACCAGTCTAAGTCCTTCAAACGTTTTGCCCAGAAAGCCATCCATTAGTCCAAAGACCTTCAAACCTTTGTAATCCAGAAAGCTTCTTCTGTCATCAGACCTAAATCCTTTTGATTTTTTTTTTCTGAACAAAAATCAAACTCTGTATGATATTTATTTATATCACTTATATTTGGGAATATTTATAAATTTGATGTGTTGTTTGCTTTTCTTGTCTTCGTATCAAATCCAATCAGTGCTGTTTGTGGTGAAACAGCGACACACAAACGACAGATAAGCACTATATAACAAGGTCATCGTCTGGAAAGCTTGACCTGGTCATCGTCTGGAAAGCTTGATCTGGTCACCTACTCTGATGGAACTTGAGAGTTTCTGAGATTCATCTCCGAAAATAAATGGGATATCAACATCGTCAACAAATTTAATTTAAATCTGATTCATTGATAAAAGTAATTGTAAAATGGAGTTGAGTTTTAGTAACAAAACTCAAAGCATCATCACTCACCTGTATATTAAGTTCTAGATTTTTCCATTGACAAAATCTTGTGTACTTTTCACTGCAAAAAAGAAATGAAAATAGTTTTCAAAAAGACTTATAGAAATTTGAAGTTTTAAATTTTGTTCTGAAATTGTAGGATCCTAAAACATTAAAAACAATATAATATGTATACTGTGTATCTCTGGAGACCAATTAGTTTAACTGTAAGTTGAAACAACAACATAATGAACTACTGTTCAAACTGATACAAAAATCTTACCAGAAAGTCTGGCCTATTATGTGTACTATTGAATAATGTATTTTCATTATAGTAAATGCACTAATTCATCACTGTACTAATTAATCATGAGTGACATTGCACTGAATTTTTTACTAATTGCAGTGTCTGTGTTTTGTTTACATAGTAATTATTGCAAATGCACTAATTCATCACTGCACTAATTAGCCAAAGATTGACATTGCACTGAAATTTTATTGTACTAAATTAAATATTTTCTCAATATTGGAATCCTAAAACATCAAACTTAATACAAGGTATTCTTATACCTTATTTTCTAAAGAAGAGAAGTTTCTGGTGACGACATGGATTAGGATGGAACAGAACAGTAATAGTAATAAATACTGGTTGTATCACCATCACGATCTCCCATTCCTCTGAACCCCTACTTCTCACCACCATCTCCCATTCCTCAAAACCCCTACTTCTCACCACCATCCACCTTCCTCTAAACCACTACTTCTCACCACCTCCCCCTTTCTCTAAACCACTACTTCTCACCACCATCCACCTTCCTCTAAACCCCTACTTCTCACCACCGCCCCCTTTCTCTAAACCACTACTTCCCACCACCATCCACCTTCCTCTAAACCACTACTTCTTACCACCATCCCCCTTCCTCTAAACCCCTACTTCTCACCACCACCCCCTTCCTCTCAACCCCTACTTCTCACCACCATTCCCCTTCCTCTAAACCCCTACTTCTTATCACCATCCCCCTTTCCTCTAAACCCCTACTTCTCATCACCATCCCCCATCCCCCCTTCCTCTAAACCCCTACTTCTCACCACCACCCCCTTTCTCTAAACCCCTACTTCTCACCACCACCCCCTTTCTCTAAACCCCTACTTCTCACCACCACCCCCTTTCTCTAAACCACTACTTCTCACCACCATCCACCTTCCTCTAAACCCCTACTTCTCACCACCATCCACCTTCCTGTAAACCCCTACTCCTACCCTATCAAAGAGGAGGGGCACATAGAAATCAATCCGGATGATTATCTATGTCACTGTAGGTTACTAATACAAGTCACCCAGTATCTTAACAAGTATTAAATGTGTCACTATAGAAATTGTCATGGAATACCACATCAAGTCAGCTCAGTGTAGATCAGTGTAGCATAAAACAACTGGTATTGAGCCAACAAAAATGCAATGAGTCACATCCAATGTCAGTAGGACATAAAAAAATGTGTGAGACTTTTGTGTCGTACATATGTAATGCTGTCAAATCAAGACTAATCAGAACATTGCCTATAGGCTATTTGAAGAAGACAGTTGCCAGGGGGAATACATCCCCATCAAACTGAGAACTCACATTAGAACAAAACATTATAAAAGTAAAATAAAGTTTGAACAGTCATATAAGTAAAATAGAAAATAACCTTACACCAATTCTAAAACAACCTATCCCCCTGACATTAATCAGACTTACATGGAAGCACAGGAGGGGCTGTTACTGTGGGAGAGAATCAGGAGTACCCAGATACAAGGATACCTATGTGGTTGAGCAAGTGACCTGACACTTTATCATATTCTATTGTGAAATCAAACCATGGTCCCAGGCTAAGATGTATTACATCCCCCTGTGAAAATGTGTAAGTTCTATTAGGGGTAAAACATTCCATATTAAAGCTTTATCTTTTAATGTGAGTATCTAACTGGCAGAATACAAGGAAGATTTCTAAATCAAAGTGTATCATAATGCTTGGTTTCCCTTTCCACTACTTACCTTTCTAAAAACTTCTCAAATATATGATATCTTAAGGAATTACATATTTCTTCTATGTAGGGCTGAAAATTAGAAAAAAAAAAGTTTTAATTACAAATTATATCATACAATAATTTGACAAAATAAGAATGAGTGTGTATACTATAGTTAATATTTGACTTGATGAGTACATTTTCGTCATACCATTTGTTTATTATTTATTTTATTCATTAAAGGACAAGTAACGAAGAAAATTTTTTTAAATCTACATATTGAAAGTGATGGAACATATATATAGATGCTGTTTTATTATGGCAATCGGTGATTCAATTAATATTGATGATATCAGAACTGATGGGACAGACAATATCAATACTGACACACTTTATAGATATAAATTATCTTATAACTTAAAAATCATAGTAACACTATTTATGCAGGATGTCAACAGATAATAACTTAGAAAATGCTGAATTACTAATTGATAGTTGATCAATATTTCCTTTTCAATTAATGATTTCTGGTTTCCTAAAGGTTAGATGCATTGATCAGTATTTTATTAACTGGTGCAAGTGTATCATATAAGCCTGTTTAATCAAATTACACTAAATGAAACTGTCTTTATTGAATTTGTTTCATAAACACTGTACATCACACAAACAAGAGCCTTAGATCCTCTTGTTATAAATTACTTTGTTGTGACAAGTTCAGCTCTATTTTGTTCACATTTCATCAATCGTTTGGTACTATGTCAGTTATATGTGTATCAATCTCATGAGATTTTTTTAGATGGCAGGTGTCAGTAACGTTGTTCTACATTTTTATTTCTACTTTCTCAAGCAAAGTACATCAATTGCACCATTTCATAATCATTCATGGATATAACATTACCCGGGAAACCAATTGCCAGCGGAGTTATCATTGTGACATCTGACACCGCCTCGACACAGAAAACCTTTCAAATCATTTTAAATATTTTAAATGTCACCCAACAAAATTACACCAGCTGATCAAGCATCAATATTTTGTGAAGCATACATTTTCTAACTAACACCCTGGGGATGTTGTAATTATTATAGACAGGGGAGGTAAATCATGTAATTTATAACTACTAACCCTATACCATGACCCTAAGTGGGGAGACAACTCTGTCTGCAATATTGTCAGAAGTTAGTAAAACACTTTTCATTAATTTTTCATATAAAATATGAATCACTTTGTCGGTCATGTTGCCCCAATCTTAAAAACCTGTTCAAAGTTTAAGATATTCTGCTGATAACATTCACCGGAGGTGTGATGATTCAAAGAAATGTTATCATTTTACAATTTTTTGTTGAACAATATAGATAAGATATTGTGAAAAAGGTACTCACAAGTGGGTGCAAATTCTAGTTAACATTATTTTAAACACTACAGGAGAGCCTGAACGTAAGGAATCACCATATATAACCATATCATTTATCGATAGTTCAAAATTGCAATATGAATCTGAACATTTGAGAACAAGTGCAATGTTTAAGATGACAAATCATCAAACATTATTGGTTATGAAATCCTAACGTGTCACCTACAGACACTGAATTTCTCTGTTAACTAAAACTTCACATACTTTTTGATGTGAATTTTATGTTTGAAATCATTCTCTTTAATTTTTCACATCTATACTGTAATGGAATGATATATCTTGTGAACTGTAAAGCTAGATCAATCACAACTTTGACAGAGTACCTTATCTCTGTGTATATGATAAAACAAACTCACACTTTCTCCAAATATATAAAACTTTACCCTGGATTAATTAAAACAAACATGATCTAAGGTTTCCAAACCAATTCCATTACATTTTCCCAAAACTGTCCACTTGTAGCTTCATAGTTCTTTGGGTACAACTAGCCAAACACATAAATTTGTACTTTTAGTGAAGATGAAACTTGATTAATTACTAATAATGTATTGCTTGGCCTTTGTGAGGTACAATTTCCTAACAAAATTCCACAGACGAGGAGTTCTGCAAATCAGTCAGGTGATAAATGACTTTTTTTCTGAAGTCACTTGGCTTATATAACGCATTCTGGACAGAAAAAGGCCTATTATCCTCACTACGATGATTGTTATGGTGTAAGTGACAAAGATAATATTTAGAAATAATGTGATCGGTAATTGCTGAAATCTAAGTAGGAATTCAGTCTACATTTATTTTCTTCTTGGTGAATTTAAAACTAGCAAAGTAAATTCAGAAATAATGACAATAACATTTTTTAACCATTTGATAAATTACTTACCACACTAACCACTGAGCCATACACCTACCTCAAAAATATTAGATGATAAACTTTTAGTTCTTTGTGCAGCAGTTAATGCCTCTTGTACATGATCCACAGCTGCTTTTGAATAGGTCTGAAACAAAAACATTGGGCTGGAATGATTTCTATTGTATCTTATCAAAACCAATGTGAAATAGTTATATAAGACAGAATATATTTTATATATCTCAATGTAAATCTGTCTTTCCTGTAAATTTTATTATCATTTTTTTTATATATTTCTATTCTATAGAAATAAAAGGTACAACACACACAGCTAAGATAACTGTTTCTGATGCATCAAAGAAGGCTATAACAAAATAAAGTATTCAATAGAATTCCACTGAATTTAATCAACTTATTTCATATAAAGTTACGAAATAGTTCACTGAAATACAGGATCAAGGAAACAAGTTTTTATAACTAACAAGACTAGCCCTCTCCTGATACAGCTGTTAAACAAGCTTAGAGTTCCTATCAAAGTAAGACATTTACACCAACTTTCCTTGTCTCGGCTAATAAACAAGAAATCTAACATCATATTACTACACAACAGACTGGATATATCAGCCACAGAATCACATGGCTGTGTCTGTCTGGCTCCCCACATAAGGCCTATAACCAGGCCACAATATATCAATAGAGTCAAGGTGACTGTATACCAGGGTCTCAGACTTTCCAAATATTTATGAAAATGAAACTTTCTCTATATACTGTTAAATCATATTTTTAACGGGTTCAAATTTCATGGTTTTTATCAAAATTAACATTTTCACAGATACTTGATTTCATGGGAAAACCTTGCCCAGGAAATCCATCAGAAATATGTTCTGTGTCAAATTCTATCTGTTCATCAATTGTGGACATATGAATTTGTGGATTTAAAGTACCAATGAATTTAATGAAAATGGTTCCCATTTGAAAATTAGTGATTTAACAGTATGTTCAAAATCAGGAGTCCCATCCCTTTGCCCCAAGGAGAAAGAATCACCATTTGTATAAAGTTAAGTTCTCTTCACCAAAGGATGCTGCAGACTAAATTTGCACATAATTCAATCATTACTTAAAAAGAAGAAAGAATTCATAGAATATGATAAATTTCCATTTTTGGGTTCCACCCCTTAAGCCCCAAAGATGCCAGACCTTTTATTTATGCAAAATTAAGCCCCCTTCCCCTAAAGGATGTTTGTGACCACTCAGGCATTCCTGACTAATAATAATTTTAGGAAAAGTAGACAGCCAGATAACAGGTATGAGTTCACCAGTCCTATGGATCAGGTGAGCTAACAAAATGTATAATCAGTACTCACATGTGATTGTGATAACAATTCCTTCATGATAAATTGGTCGTAAATATCTTTTCCTAATTTTATCCTTTCTTCATCAGATTCTAATTTCTCAAACCGTTTAATCTGAAAAGAAAAAAAAAAACAGAATTAAATCACCTTAACTTATTTCATGAATTGTTTATAAAGTTTCTATAATTGATTTTCTCTACAAACAAAACAACTGTGCAAATAACAGTTCCACACCGACACATCGCCTTACCAAGGTTAACCTCCCAATGTGTAACCAAAGTATGAAGTTCCAGCAACAAGAAGTGTAGGGAAAGAGAGAGTAAGAAAAAAGGCAGAAGGAGGTACAGATGTAAAACTATAGTCTACCAGAGGACTAATGTCCTCTTAGTTTTCAAACTTGCTGCAATATTTATCATTTCTCAGTTCTGAAATTTCTTTTATTGAGGAGGCAGTCATTAAAACAGATATTTGTGACAGTATATCATAATTCAACAGATATCTGTGACAGTATATCGTAATACACCATTTCCCTGCCAATTCCGGCAGTTATTAAAATAGACATTTGTGATTGTAAATCCTAAGACAGTGTTTATCTCTGCCCATTTAAAAACAGAGTAGGATATCTCTGAGCATTTTCTTCAGGTTGGTAATGTCAATGGAATAGAACTGGTTAGCTAATCCACTCAACACTGGTCATTTGTCTGATGAAGGTGACAGTGTATTTATTGAAACGTCACATTCAAATCTTCTACTGATTGTGTTATACAACATCTGTTCTAACATTTGGCATCAATATTCTAGTTAATTCACCACCAAAACAATAGTTTTTCACTGAAAAATGCTATTGTCTTTGATATCGTGATGAGCTCGGGTCAGTTGACTATAACTGGAAAGTACTTTACAACTGCTGTCACATAGCACAACATAACACATATATAAATAAGGTTACACTATCACACTCACACTGTAGGACAGACACACTATCACACTATACCCAGTCTGTAGGACAGACACACTATACCCAGTCTGTAGGACATACACATTATACCCAGTCTGTAGGACAGACACACTATCACACTATACCCAGTCTGTAGGACAGACACACTATCACACTCACACTGTAGGACAGACACACTATCACACCATACCCAGTCTGTAGGACAGACACACTATACCCAGTCTGTAGGACAGACACAATATCACACTATACCCAGTCTGTAGGACAGACACACTATCACACTCACACTGTAGGACAGACACACTATCACACTATACCCAGTCTGTAGGACAGACACACTATACCCAGTCTGTAGGACATACACACTATACCCAGTCTGTAGGACAGACACACTATACCCAGTCTGTAGGACAGACACACTATCACACTATACCCAGTCTGTAGGACAGACACACTATCACACTATACCCAGTCTGTAGGACAGACACACTATACCCAGTCTGTAGGACAGACACACTATCACACTATACCCAGTCTGTAGGACAGACACACTATCACCAGTCTGTAGGACAGACACACTATCACACTATACCCAGTCTGTAGGACATACACACTATACCCAGTCTGTAGGACAGACACACTATCACACTCTACCCAGTCTGTAGGACAGACACACTATCACACTATATCCAGTCTGTAGGACATACACACTATACCCAGTCTGTAGGACATACACACTATTACACTGTACCCAGTCTGTAGGACATACACGCTATTACACTGTACCCAGTCTGTGGGACATACACACTATACCCAGACTGTAGGACATACACACTATACCCAGTCTGTAGGACATACACACTATTACACTGTACCCAGTCTGTACGACATACACACTATTACACTGTACCAGTCTGTAGGACATACACACTATACCCAGACTGTAGGACATACACACTATTACACTGTACCCAGTCTGTAGGACAGACACACTATACCCAGTCTGTAGGACATACACATTATTACACTGTACCCAGTCTGTAGGACATACACACTATACCCAGACTGTAGGACATATACACTATTACACTGTACCCAGTCTGCAGGACAGACACACTATACCCAGTCTGTAGGACATACACACTATTACACTGTACCCAGTCTGTAGGACAGACACACTATCATACTCTACCCAGTCTGTAGGACATACACACTATCATACTATACCCAGTCTGTAGGACATACACACTATCATGCTCTACCCAGTCTGTAGGACATACACACTATACCCAGTCTGTAGGACATACACATTGTACCCAGTCTGTAGGACATACACACTATCATACTCTACCCAGTCTGTAGGACATACACACTATCATACTCTACCCATTCTGTAGGACATACACACTATACCCAGTCTGTAGGACATACACACTATCATACTCTACCCAGTCTGTAGGACATACACACTATCATACTCTACCCAGTCTGTTGGACATACACACTATTACACTGTACCCAGTCTGTAGGACAGACACACTATCATACTATACCCAGTCTGTAGGACATACACACTATCATACTCTACCCAGTCTGTAGGACATACACACTATCATACTCTACCCAGTTTGTAGGACATACACACTATACCCAGTCTGTAGGACATACACACTGTACCCAGTCTGTAGGACAGACACACTATCATACTATACCCAGTCTGTAGGACATACACACTATCATACTCTACCCAGTCTGTAGGACATACACACTATTACACTGTACCCAGTCTGTAGGACAGACACACTATCATACTATACCCAGTCTGTAGGACATACACACTATCATACTCTACCCAGTCTGTAGGACATACACACTATACCCAGTCTGTAGGACATACACACTATCACACTATACCCAGTCTGTAGGACATACACACTGTACCCAGTCTGTAGGACATACACACTATCATACTCTACCCAGTCTGTAGGACAGACACACTATCATACTCTACCCAGTCTGTAGGACATACACACTATACCCAGTCTGTAGGACATACACACTGTACCCAGTCTGTAGGACATACACACTATACCCAGTCTGTAGGACATACACACTATCACACTATACCCAGTCTGTAGGACATACACGCTATACCCAGTCTGTAGGACAGACACACTATCACACTATACCCAGTCTGTAGGACATACACACTATACCCAGTCTGTAGGACATACACACTATACCCAGTCTGTAGGACATACACACTATAACCAGTCTGTAGGACAGACACACTATCACACTATACCCAGTCTGTAGGACAGACACACTATCACACTATACCCAGTCTGTAGGACAGACACACTATCACCAGTCTGTAGGACAGACACACTATCACACTATACCCAGTCTGTAGGACATACACACTATACCCAGTCTGTAGGACAGACACACTATCACACTCTACCCAGTCTGTAGGACAGACACACTATCACACTATACCCAGACTGTAGGACATACACACTATAACCAGTCTGTAGGACATACACACTATCATACTCTACCCAGTCTGTAGGACATAAACACTATTACACTGTACCCAGTGTGTAGGACAGACACACTATCATACTATACCCAGTCTGTAGGACATACACACTATCACACTATACCCAGTCTGTAGGACATACACACTTTACCCAGTCTATAGGACATACACACTGTACCCAGTCTGTAGGACATCTCTCTATCACTGTATTTTATTGCTATCTTACATGCTGTTATCTGTCAGATAAGTACAGGTTTAATACTCCAGACAAGAGATGTCACTAAAATACAACATTGTCTGTTTGTGTGTAACACTGGTCATAGATATGTTTCATTTGTCAATGTCTGGAATTGAAGGATATCATAGCAGTATTGATCTGTTTGAACTTTTAGTTTGTTACCCCTCAAAGACAGCTATCACATCAGGCCATCATGCCTCAGTATCAATATTGGAATATTCCAGATATTTAGTTAGCCCTAGAGGAATAGAAATCATGACTAGCACATTTTTTAAGTGATTCCAAATGAGATTTGATCCTGATTTGAGAATGGGCAATGGACTCGGGGGTTTGATTGTGTAGATAATGTTTAGCAGAATTGTTAGTATTTGATTGTGTAGATAATGTTTAGCAGAATTGTTAGTATTTGATTGTGTAATGTTTAGCAGAATTGTTAGTATTTGATTGTGTAGATAATGTTTAGCAGAATTGTTAGTATTTGATTGTGTAATGTTTAGCAGAATTGTTAGTATTTGATTGTGTAGATAATGTTTAGCAGAATTGTTAGTATTTGATTGTGTAATGTTTAGCAGAATTGTTAGTATTTGATTGTGTAGATAATGTTTAGCAGAATTGTTAGTATTTGATTGTGTAGATAATGTTTAGCAGAATTGTTAGTATTTGATTGTGTAGATAATGTTTAGCAGAATTGTTAGTATTTGATTGTGTAGATAATGTTTAGCAGAATTGTTAGTATTTGATTGTGTAATGTTTAGCAGAAGATAATGTTTAGCAGAATTGTTAGTATTTGATTGTGTAGATAATGTTTAGCAGAATTGTTAGTATTTGATTGTGTAGATAATGTTTAGCAGAATTGTTAGTATTTGATTGTGTAATGTTTAGCAGAATTGTTAGTATTTGATTGTGTGATAATGTTTAGCAGAATTGTTAGTATTTGATTGTGTGTAATGTTTAGCAGAATTGTTAGTATTTGATTGTGTAGATAATGTTTAGCAGAATTGTTAGTATTTGATTGTGTAGATAATGTTTAGCAGAATTGTTAGTGTTTGATAATGTTTAGCAGAATTGTTAGTATTTGATTGTGTAGATAATGTTTAGCAGAATTGTTAGTATTTGATTGTGTAGATAATGTTTAGCAGAATTGTTAGTATTTGATTGTGTAGATAATGTTTAGCAGAATTGTTAGTATTTGATTGTGTAATGTTTAGCAGAATTGTTAGTATTTGATTGTGTAATGTTTAGCAGAATTGTTAGTATTTGATTGTGTAATGTTTAGCAGAATTGTTAGTATTTGATTGTGTAATGTTTAGCAGAATTGTTAGTATTTGATTGTGTAGATAATGTTTAGCAGAATGTATTTG